TTAGAAGCTTCTCAAGAGAATTTGATCTTGTTTTAAGGATAAGATATTGTTCTTTAAATCAAGACAAAAATATTGATTTAGATTTTTTTTCTTCCAGTGTAACAAGCTTCTAAAGTTAAGCAGACACCGAGTCAGTGGGTGAACTGCATTGAGAGATTTCTGTTCAGTGGCTTCCGTGAAGATTCATGCTGAGCTTTTCTTTTCTAATGTGCCGCCCAGCCGACATTTGCCGACTGTTGTTTAGATTAAATCCTGTGAGGAGTGTGGAGGAATCTACAGCGCCATGGCTGAAGAAATCCTATTTCACACAAGTGTGCATGCAGTCTGAATTAAATGGAATAAGTTAATGTTACTCTATTAAACATACAGTGTAACCACTTTGAAGATGACTCTTATGAGCTGGTTCTTTTTAATAAATCAATTGAAAGGGTTCATGGACATGGAATTTAAAGTGAACTAATAATGCCCCTTTTCACAAGATGTAATATAAGTCTCTGGTGTCCCAATAATGTGTCTATATGAAGTTTCAGGTCAAAATACCCCAGAGGTCATTTATTATATCTTGTTAAATTTGCCCCTATTTGGGTGTGAGCAAAAACACGCCATTTTTGTGTGTCCCTTTAAGTGCAAATGAGCTGTTGCTCCGCCCCCTTTACACGAGCTTCGGATACTCCGGCGACAACAAAACTGGACAATCTCACGCAGCCAAAATGTCAGAAATTGTGTTCAGACTTACATGTTCGAAACAGAGTCGGACACTGATGGAAGATACAACTTTTAAATGGCAACTGGACGTTTCTGAATGGTTCGTGAATACATTTATGTAGTTGTTGTGGCGTTAAGTTGATTCAACTCATCGACTAGCATGTACCGTTGGTGGATTTTTAGCATTATAGGCTGGTTGTTTACACATGTGGACACACATCTGTGTTCAAACACCTTATAAAAGTGAATTTTGCATAATGGGTCCCCTTTAGATCAGTTTAACAAATAATTTGTGATTGGTTAAAATTAACACCACTAAACTCAGTCACTTATCTTAACTTCTCTTCTTAACTCTAAAAATAAGTGAACAAGAAAGATTAGCATATTAGCGCACAGTAGTTGTTGATCTCAAGTGTGAAAGTGTTGAGATGGTCTCTACATAAAGCCACTATGTGTGAGTCAGTTCTTTTGAACTGTCCATTTCAGTCAATCATTGGAAACAGCGTGTTTTTGTATTGTTGTAGTGTGGTTATAATTTTTTTTAATATATATATATATATATCAAATTGTCCTTAAATTCTTGTATTGTATTAGTCTTTTAAGTCTTAAAATGTCTTAAGTTTCATTCAAACATTAAAATATGGTACAAAAGCAGTGTGTTTTTGTTTAGCTTGTAGTTACGACCAATTATTATTGGTTAGGAAAGTTAGTCCCTGTGGTTGAGAGAGGAGACTGTGTGTGTGTAGACAGAGAGACGTCTAGTCGTGTGGATTGGAGATTATGTTCAAGGTCAGGAAGCTGAACACTTTTTTCCAGTTTTTGGACTACATCAATTTATATATCACCATCCGCAACCCAACCCTGTTCGGTTTCCATGTTTTATGGGGACTTTCCATAGATATTTAGATTTGTATACTGTACAAACTGTATTATTTCCCCTAACCTTCCCCATCACAGAAAACTCCATACATTTTTACATAAAAAAAGCATACTTTTATAAGCCATTTTCCTCATGGGAACCAAAAAAAAAAGTCCAAAAATGTCTGGTATTACTGAATGTCCCCACAACATAGGGTTTACCAGTACCATTTGCAATGCTTCATGGGATTCTCATTAAAGCAGAGTAACTTTGTCTTTGGGTTAGGGTTAGTTAGGGTTAGGAAAAATCTTGTCTGTTTTTTTTTAAAGTTTGTAATGTTGTGATTCACCTCATGGCTGGTTGGTTTAGTTCATGACTTATAAAATCTTTTATGAAGACTTTAAAAAAAAAATCCCTTTGGGAAAAATACTTCAGGAACCAATGCATCTGAAAAAGTGGACGCACATTGTTGCCCTCTGTTGTTCTCATCTTTCATCAGGACTTGCCAAGTAAGTGAAGTTGGAATAAGTGATGCGTAATTAATATGTAAATGTATGTGGTCATATGGTAATAAATCATGGTTTTGACATCATAATCATGATCTGCTTTTCAGTTTAGCTTCAGTAAATATTCTGCACTCTTATGTAAAAGAGCAAGAAAAGTCCACAATAAGACTTTCTTTTTAAATCAAACTGATGTAAAGTGTGAAATGATTTGATCAATCTCTAAAGATAGTGTTTTTCAAATGTATTAATAAAATATAACATTATTCCAACACATGCAGCTTTCTAGAACGAAACCAGTGCTGTTATTTGACTTTTTGGCATCATCCTGATATATTCTGATGCATTTCATCACATGAGTTGCAGTGCTGTTTTCTGTGCAGTGATGTAGTTGTTTCTCTGTAATAAAGTTACTCTTTTCTGCTCCTAATTTTAAAGCCATTTAATTCAAACCACAACCCTCAATGATATAAACCCAGATTGCGAAATACTTTGGACCCCATCAGAAATGTTCTTTTCCCCTAAAACTGCAGATCTGTAGTTGGAGAAGCTCTCTAAACCTCTACAGAAAGAGCGGTTAGTTAGTTATGATGGTATCTGTCTTTGTGTCTTTTCTTAGTCAAAGTTTGTAGCTCTCAGACGGATTATATGATGATAAAAACATCAATTTCCTTCCTGTCTGATAAAAGTATGACGCGACTCAGATGAGCTGACTGACTGCTGTTGGCCTGCTTTGTGTATGTTCATGTGTAGTCGCTCAAGCTCCAACATGCTCCTGGTATTTCACACACAGGACATGTTTACCAGGTTAAATAACACCTCACAGAGTCCAAATCAGTGGACTGATCACATTCCCAGAGCGACAGAGCGAGACAATTCATAGAGAGAGAGAGAGACGGATACAGAGAGAGAGAGAGACAGATACAGAGAGAGAGAGATACAGAGAGAGAGAGAGCTGGCATGGATTTGTGCATCGACTTTGTTCATTCAAAGTTTGGAGTTCGGTCTGTGTGTCTCTCAACAAAATAATACTTAATTTAGGATAGTTTGACTCTGTCTACAGTTGGATTCATTTTATATTGAGTTTCCCCTCAAATTTCTACTCTCAGACTGATAAAATATAATTAGTGGAAGCCAGTAAGATCATTTTACTCAAACCCAAAGTTTTATTGTTACTCTCTCACAGTGATCAGACTTAATCCGCTTTCACTCTTTCCTATTTCACACACACATTTAACTCTATCCATTAATCAGAAAAAAGATTGCATACAATTTAAAGACATATTTCAGCCCCAAAAAAACCAAAACACAATCATCATTATTTACTGTTACAGTATGTTGTTCCAAATCTGTGTGACTGACTTTCTTCTGTGGAACACAAAAGCACAATTATATATATATATAAAAAAAAAAAGCACATAATGTACATAGCAAGGGCATGGTGGTGGAAAAAAAAGATGATCTGGGAGGAAAAATAATAAGTCAGTGCTTTTGTGTTCCCCGAGAAACTTTGCGTTCGCTCGGGAAACCTTTGCGTTCCTCCAATAAACTTTGCGCTTGCTTGCGAAACCTTTGCGTTCATCAGAGAAACTATGCGTTCGCTCACAAAACCTTTGCGTTCTTCCGAGAAACATTTGGGTTCCTCAGAGAATCTTTGCGTTCTCCCCTTCGCGTTCCTCTGAGAATCTTTGCATTCCTCCGAGAAACTTTGTGTTCGCTCGCAAAACCTTTGCGTTCCCCCGTGAAACTTTGCGCTCACTCGTGAAATGTTTGCGTTTCCGCGCTAAATTTTTGTTAGCTTGCGAAACCTTTGCGTTCCTCAAATCTTTGCGTTCGCTCGCGAAACCTTTGCGTTCCTCATAGAAACCTTTGCTTTTCCCCAAGAAACTTTGCGGTCACTCGCAAAACCTTTGCGTTCTTCCGAGAAACTTTGCGTTCACTCACAAAACCTTTGTGTTTCCCCAAGAAGCATTTGCGTTCCTCAGAGAATCTTTACGTTCTCCCCTTCGCGTTCCTCTGAAAAACTTTGCGTTCCTCAGAAAGTCTTTGGGTTTGCTCGCGAAGCCTTTGCGTTCCCTGAGAAACTTTGCGTTCGCTCGCGGAACCTTTTTAGCTTTTTGCGAGTGAAAGCAAAGTTTCTCGGTGGAATGCAAAACATTTGCGAGAGAGAAATGGCATTTGACAAATAATTTTTCCTCCATCATATTTTTTTCCTTCCATGTCCCTTTAGGGGCTCCGTAGTAATAGACTTTCAAATGGGGAGAAATCTCTCCGATTTCTTTAAAATATCTTCATATGTGTTTTTCGAAGATGAACGAAAATCTTATGCATCTGAAACTAAATGAGGGTGAGAAAAATATGATAGGATTTGTATTTTTGAGTGAACTATTCTTTTAATGGTCTTAATTGATACTGTATACAGCAAAACTATAATGATAAAATGTCCTTTATGATTGTTGCTTGTTAGTTGACGGTTGCATTAAGAGCAGCCGCCCCGCAGGACTGCGACCCCATAATTTTGTAAAACCATGGAAAAGATTAATCGGATGTCAATTTTTTTAAACCTTCTGACTTAAATTGACTATAAAGAATGATTAAATCTGTAATAAGTGATTTTTTGTGTGTGCAGTTATTGTTTTGAAGTGATTTTCTTTTAAAGTAGACAAGGGCTGCTTTCACCGGGCTGATATTAAAGCAGAGAGGAAGCCCTTCTTTGGCAAGACTGTAGAGAAACTGATTACAGCTTTGATGTTTTGGTTTCTGTGAAATATCCACTGTTTTTGCAATAACTGAAATACTGACCTGTGATCTAGGAAGGGGTCTCATCTTCATAATACACATAATAAGCAGTCTTAAAGATTATGAAAGTAAATGAACAGTTATTGTGTGTTATTAGCTGTAATTGATCTTGAGTTGTGTTTGTGGTGTCTCAGGTGTACAGCACGTTCTCCAATGAAGACTACGACCGGAGGAATGACGATGTGGATCCTGTGGCGGCGTCTGCGGAGTACGAGCTGGAGAAACGGGTGGAGAAGATGGACGTGTTTCCCGTGGAGATAGAGAAAGGTGAGGATGTGTCTTTCACAAAACACTCTTGACTCTTTCTGGGATTTATTGATTAATAAACCAACAGTCAAAACAAGTTTAACTTTTAACTTTTTTTTTTTTCCATCCTCTCACTGATCCTTAAATTAAGGCCCATTCACAACAAGAATGATAATTCTGAAGATTACCATAAAGATATAGTTCTAAAAATCTTTTTAAATATATAAGAATAGCAGTTCACACCACAACTATAAGGATAACGACACTGAGAAATTATATCTTTGGAATCAGTTTCAGAACAATTTTTTTCCAGCTGATGAACAATAAAAACATTGACAGCCAATCAGAATCCTTCCAACTTTAACGAGCTCGAGCATTTAAAGTGGCAGACGATAATACTGCAGCGCACATTTCATTTAACAGAATGATATCGTCTGCTGGTGTGGACGTTAATATAGTTATTGTTATAGTTATCGTTCTTTGTGTGAGCGGGCCTTTAAACCGTTGTTACCGCTGTACATATTAGGACTGGCCATTGACGCAAATTTCATGATTCGATTTATTTCAAATATTAAATATTGAAGAACAGGTTACATAAAAATATAATGAATATGTAATATAGTGCATATATTTAGCAAAATTTTATCAAGCAATGCATATTGAATGGGTTTCCTGAGGTAAATGTAACATTTACAAGCTGTTTTATTGACGTCAGTTGAAACACTGATTGAGCAATTGAGACAGGATTGTTGTATGTCAATAAGTTATAAGGTATCTTTCGGCATAATGTTCTTTGTTTATTTCGTGCTGTAACTCGTTGCGCTAACAATTTATGAACAAAACACTTTTTTTATTTAGTACCAACAAAAAAATTCGACATAAAAATAATATCAAATATAAATAAAGTAAACATTCTGTGACAAAATAAGAAGCAATAATCAAATGGCAAGCAATAGCACAAATAAACAATAGAACAAAGATACAAAATAAATAAACGGTGCTTTTCAGGTTTTACAGATAGATCTAACAGTAGTCAGAAACAGATTAGGTACAGAAATGGAAGAAAGTTATCAAATGTAATATAACACTGTATAGTCTTCACTGTCTAAACTAAACCGATTAATCCTTATTAAAGTTACAAAAGGTATTCAGTCAAGAGCATTATTTTTTGTTGTTGCGGTGAGTCTTTTGTTTGACAGCAGCAGGAGTATTAGGCTGCTGTCACTTTGACAATGCACGGATCCAATATACTGATTCACGTGTTTTCTATCTCGACTGTTTACGTTTACTTAAAGGATTAGTTCACCTCAAAATGAAAATTTCCTGATAATTTACTCTCCCCAATGCCATCCATGCGCCAGGCATTACGTAATCACGTTGGAAAGGTCACGCTGGACGTAGGCGGAAGTACCGTTCCATTGTTTACAAGCGTGGAGAAGGAGGATTGTTAATTTTATTGTATGTTGAATGACATATTTATGTCTTTGTGTCAGTTTATTGTTTAAAATGGTCCTTTCGTTCGTGTATCCTGGATGTTTAAAACAATGGGGCGGTACTTCTGCCTACGTCCAGCGTGACCTTTCCAACGTGATGACGTAATGCCTGGCGCGTCGCAGACCAGCACAAGACGAACAATTGTGGTTAAAAAGTATATCAATTTTTATTTTAGAAAATGACCGATCGTTTTGCTAGGTAAGACCCTCTTCCTCAGCTGGGATCGTGCAGAGCCGTTTGAAGCTCTTCAAAGCCCTTTGAAACTGCATTGATTTGGACTTCAACAATTTGGTTACCGTTGAAGTCCATTTTGTGGAGAAAAATCCTGAAATGTTTTTCTCAAAAAACTTAATTTCTTTTCCACTGAAGAAAGGAAGACATGAACATCTTGGATGGCATTGGGGTGAGTAAATTATCAGGAAATTTTCATTTTTATGTGAACTAATCCTTTAGGACAACCGACTATGTTCACTAGGATACTCTCCAAGATGGGCATTTTGACATAATTTTGTGTGAAATTGTCTGTTCAAGCGCAAGACAACGTGAAAGAGCTCAAATCAGCATTCGCGTCCTGTCAGACTCGTGCAAGTTATCTTTCGCATCTTCTTGCGCTTGAATGTTTAAATAGGCAAGGCTAAAAAGTACGTGCAAATGATAGACCTTCATGCCGATGCAGGACAGTCTTGTCGAGCCCTAGCACGTCAATTCTCTTTGCTCAGCGCTAAACTTATTTTTTTGCCTTTAACTCAATTACAGGTTACTGAAATCGTACAGTTTACTAGCCATTGGCTAATGAAAGACTTAATTAAATTAATGAAATTTGGTCTCGTATGCAAGTGATTTACTCCCATTGTAAAGGGTTGAATACATGTTCCAATTGAACTGGGGAGGAACTGTGAATGCTATAGAGTATGTCTGCATAAATTGTGGCAAAACTGATATTCATAATTTAATAAAAGTCTGTTCCTGTAATATGGCCTTTTTGAAGACAAACCTTGAATAATTCAGTCAAGAGATTGGCTTTAAAACACGGATTCATCCAGTAATGAAACAAGTGAAGTATTTCTGAGTGAGTCATTTAATCATTCTGCCTTTCTTTTTCTCTCTTTTTACTTCTCTTTGTGAAGGTGATAAAGGGCTGGGGATCAGTATTATAGGGATGGGTGTTGGGGCAGACCAGGGTCTGGAGAAACTGGGCATCTTCGTCAAGACCATCACGCAGGATGGAGCCGCAGAGAGAGATGGGAGGTGAGAATTTCTCACAACAAGCAGTGATTTACTGAGCAGGGCAGTAATTATTAGTTACCAGCTGTGACACATCTGGAAGCTCACATATAGCCTTCTTTACATGGGGTTTACTGTGGGTTTTTACACCTGTTTTTCATCCAGCACACAAAACAAACACAGGTCTGATTGAGGGAGCACACCTCTCCTCAAACACCCATGCGATCTTATTCCTAAATGACAACAATTAAACTATTAACTATTAAACATTTGACAAGTACGATCATAGTGAACATTCAGACCTGCGTTCTGTCTTACAATAATTCAGATTGTCCCAGAAGTGCTGGGATAAAAGTTTATAGTTCGGATATAAACACTGATGTCTGCGGTAGTGATTCAATTAGAGCAAATCACCTTTTGAAAGTAACTTGACGCTTCAAATTAACGATTGTATCAATGATATTGTTACACCAGTAGGTGGCGACAAGTGAAGTGACTGTTACAAAAGGTATTTGTCTTAGAATCATTCATTCAAGAGATTCGAGAGAAACGCTGATTCATCCAGGAATGAAACGAGTGAAGTCTGAGTGAGTCATTGAATCATTCATTCAAACCGTTTTTTTTATTATTATTGTTCATTCAAATTAAGTAGGGCTGTCAGTTAAACGCGTTATTAACGGCGTTAACGCAAACCCATTTTACCGGCGTCAATTTTTTAATCGCGCGATTAACGTTCTTTTTGGCCTAGCAAACTTTTAGTTTTTTTCACATGCTTTTGCAACAGGACGCGGCATGCGATGCGCTATGAAACCCATTCATTTCAATGGCTTGTGCCACGCGAGGACGTTTTGTTGCTTCGTCGACCAAAGTGCAAGCGGATCTAGCTGGACCGGAAACAACAACAGGCACGACGCCGCACACACTTGTTTGGGTCTGCGAGCCGGCCAAATAGTTGGTTAACGTTACGTTTTGAGTGGATGACGGGCGTGAGACGCCGAAATGGATGCCAATAAGATTCTGAATGGAAAGTTTACTTTTAAAAAGTTGCCAAATGGTTCCATTGACAAGACCAAAGTGATCTGTGTGTTTTGTCGTTGTGAACTGAGCTATCATCATCGCAGCACGTCCAGTCTGAAACACCACTTGATGGCCAAGCACACACACACACACACACACACAGCTGATGCCAATTCTCCGCCCCCTCGTCAATATCAGGACCTCGTCAGTATTTCTTTCACCCTTTTATTGATGGACAGTGTTACATTGAGAGATTATTTGCTCCAAGTGAGAATGTTAGTGTGAAATTGAACACCGTATATGCCAATGTTGTTTTCAATAAAAAACATTTGCACAAAGCAAGCCGATCCACTTTTCCATGTTGATAAGAACATTAAAATGAGAAAAAATAATAATGGGACAAAAAGAAATCGAGACATTTAGAATAGATAAAAATGTGCGATTAATCGTGAGTTAACTATGACATTAATTGCGATTAATCGCGATTAAATATTTTAATCGTTTGACAGCACTAAAATTAAGTAAACATTTTTAATGTTTAAATCAGGATTGCAGCAATTAACATTTTGTTAGAACCTCTAGTAAGTTACATTTTGTTTTGTTTAATTTGTCCATAATCGTGGGGAGAATCGTGATTTCTATTTAAAAGAAGAACAAAAAAACGTGATTCAGTTGATCCAGAATCGCGCAGCTCTATCATATATTAGGCTATATCATCCTAATCAGACCGATCGTCCAAATAATTGGAGCCAGTACGTTTTTTTTTTACTTTTATTAATACTTTTTCCAGCCAGTGTGCATTAAATAGATCAAATGTGACTAAAGACTTTTACACTTTTATAAATGATTTCTGTCAAATAAATGTTTGACTTTCTATTCATCAAATAATCCTGAAAAAATGGTGATGTTTTTCACAAAAATATGACGAGGCTCGACTGTTTTTAACATTGATAAAAATCAGAAATGTTTCTTTAGCAGCAAATCATCATATTAGAATGATTTCTGAAGGATCATGTGACACTGAAGACTGGAGTAATGATGCTGAAAATTCAGCTTTGATCACAGGAATGAATTACATTTTAAAATATATTCAAATACAAAACAGTTATTTATTTTTATTTTTTTTTAAATAAATGCAGCCTTGATAAGCATAAGAGACTTTCTTCAAAAAACATGAAAAGTCTGACCCCGACCCCAAACGTCTGAACAGTGTGCCTGCTGGTGAACCCTGTCTCGGGTCATGTTGCAGCTGCGCTAGCGCCGGGCATGTCTTCATGTTCTGCTTCCTGAGGGCAACTGAAGCAGGACACACACGTTTGATCTCTGTTGAACATTCTCTGTCCAAACACACTGCATTCATGTCTCTGTCACAGCACAGAAAACACACTTCCTCTTCCCTGTGAACCTCAGCATTCGCTGCCAACTGCTGACTGTTGGAAATACTCAGTGCTGTGTGGAAAAAGCATCCCAGCTGGGCATCAGGCCTCAGAGGTGGCAGTCGTAAACATGTTGTGATGTATAGTTCCAGTGCAGATTAGGTGTGTGAGAAGTGTAAGCAGTCTGTCTTCCTCAGAGAGGTGCGATTACTCATTCACGGAGTCATGAACATGTGCTTAGCATGTATTTTACGTGTCACTGTGCAGCATTAAGCAGCACATTTACATCAGTGTGAAGTACATAGAATGAAAAGATCCAGATGTTTAACATCGTCAGTGTCAACTTTTAGAGGATTACATTACAGTGAGGTTTGGAGCTTTGTTGAGGGAGATAGGCCATGAGACGGGACCCCAAATTTGGGCTACCGGTACCATTTTGAGGGATTAAATTTCTTTTTGATTTTCATGAAGGTACACATCTCTAGTGTTGGAAAATGTGTGATAGCATCCGATCCATGGTAGCTTTCATTAGAAATCAACACTTATATCATCCTACCTCAGGGTAAGGTGTTCAGTGACTACAAGAGAGAAAAATTTATCCTTTTATAATTTTAAAAATGTATTAAAAAAATATATAATTTTTTTATTATAAAAATGTATAAAAATGTATAAAAATGTATAAAATTTTATAAAAATGTATAAAAATTTTATAAAATTTAAAATTTATTTAAAGATAAATTAATTTATCCTTTTTCTTGACATATGTTTGAAAATCGTCCTCCTTAACCAAAAACTACCTTGAATCTAATGCTATCACACATTTTTCAAATACAGGGTCATATACCTACACAAAAATCACCATGCGGTTTAATCCCTCAAAATGGTACCAATCAACCCTCTGTCTCACGGCCTAAGATGTGTGTTTTGTAATCGGATATTAAAGTAAATTGTTACTTTTGAATTACGTTTAATTTTATTTCATGCATTTACTTACAAATGCATTTCAAAACATCTGCACAAAGTATGCTGCCATATCTAAGGCCTGTAAAAAATGATATGATCAGTAAGTCGTGGCAACATGTTTTACATGGCTTTAGCTCATAAAAATAAGTAATTTCAACTTTTTATTATTAGTTTTACAAAATTGAACTTGTTTTTATTTTATTTTATAAATTCAGTTTAATATAATTTTAATTTTAATTAATTATACAGCCCAGATTCTTTTTCGATTTTAATATATTTTAAACTGTAATTTATTCCTGTGATCAAAGCTGGATTTTCAGCATCACTACTCCAGTCTTCAGCGTCACATGATCCTTCAGAAATCCTGAAAAAATGTGTCATGGTTTCCACAAGAAAATTAAGCGGCAAAAGCTGTTTTCAACACTGATAATAAAAATCATTGTTAATAATTGAGATTAATAACAAATTGTAATTGTAAAATATTTCACAATATTACTGTTTTTACTTTTTTTTGTCAAATAACTGCAGCTTTGGTGAGCAAAAGACACTTCTTTCAAAAACATTAAAATATTTTATCATACCAAACTTTAGATCGGTATATTGATGCTACAGTAATATTCAAACATCTGTATCGTTTAAGCTACTTTTTATTAGGATTAACTAATGATGAATATCTACATATAACAATGCAAGAATGAGCAGTGTTGGGCAAGTTACTTTTAAAAAGTAATTAGTTACAGTTACTAGTTACTTCTTCCAAAAAGTAACTAAATTAGTTACTCGGTTACAAATTTTAAAAGTAACTAGTTACTTAAGAAAGTAACTATTGCGTTACTTTCAAGTAAAATAAAATTTTAAATGCTCAAATGTGACCCCACCTCTACCCTGTCCGACTATGACTCGACACGTTCGCGAATGAGCCGACTCTAAGAGCCGGCTCTTTTAGGTGAACGTCGGGAGCTGGCTCGCATATCTGAAGAGCCGACTCTATTTTTACAAATTTAACCTATAGAAATGTAATAATTATGTAATAAAAATTGAAATATTATAGTCAAAGTCATTTAAAGAGCCTTTTGTGAGCCAAAAGAGCCGGCTCTTTTCAGTGAGCTGAGTCAAAAGAGCCGAATGCCCATCACTACAATGCGTGCTTTCGAACACCCGCCCAACTCTACCTCTGATTGGCTTACAATAACATTTTACTCTACCTCAGCCAATCGTCAGCATTTATGCGCTTGATTCGTGCTCTGCCCACTAACCAAGGAAGAACAGTAAAAAAAGTATTTGCCTCTCGCTCAGAGATCTAGTTGGTCTGATGAAAAAAACCCCAGCTTCATTAGTTATAGTAACGCGCCGCATTTTTTGGCAGTAACGGCGTTATTAAGATGAGAAGAGTAATCAATTAGATTACTCGTTACTGGAAAAAGTAACGCCGTTAAATAACGCCGTTATTCCCATCACTGAGAATGTGTAACTTTTGAAAGTAGCATTTCACTACACTGGTTTGAGGCGTCACTAATATTGTTTGCTGTTTGGTTTGTAACTTAAGTATACATTAATAGTTGCTTAATGAGACCTATGAAATCAAGATTACTTTTGTCAGTGTAACACATTAAACCTCATCATGTTCTGTTCCAGGATCCAGGTGAATGATCAGATTGTGGAGGTGGACGGCATCAGTCTGGTTGGTGTGACGCAACACTTTGCTGCGACCGTCCTCAAGAACACGAAGGGAACGGTCAGGTCAGTCCTGCTCTGTCTGTCTGTTACATCAGTGAAAGAAAACAAAAAACGAAAACAGCTGTGGAAAAGGCATTCGAGTGTGTAAATGGCGGTTGGCTCTGTGCCTTATAAAGCGGCACCAAATGCCAATTCCTCCGAATTTTTCTTCTTCAGACTGTTGACTTTTCACTGTCTGAACAAGCCCAAGATCATCACCGTAGAGCTGCATCTCTTCAGTGAACGCCATCACAAGCTGTGAACTCGCTTCTCCACTCGTGTTCCAGCGAGAACATGTTCAAGAAGCTGAGCTCGTGAGGCAGCCGTCACAAGAGCTCACTGCAGCCACTAGTTGTACATTGGTCATACTAATCAGCATCACTGAAATATTTGAAAATCTTTACATTTTCATAATTTTTTGGGGAAATTATTTGGTAGGCAGAGGTGGGGTTGGGGAGCGCCACAATTTTTTTTATAGGTTTAAAGGGGAGTGCAACCAGAAGAGTTTGAGAACCACTGAGAATAAATATGAATACATATTTACATAAATATGAAGTCTTCTGTTATGAGTTAGAACGAAGTTTAAGAAAAAGACGGGAAAAACCTCACATTCAGTCTAGTTAGTTAAGTGTGATTCGAATTTTCTTATAGTCTTGTGTTGGCAGACTTCTAACTGTAATGTGAGCCACATCACACCTTAATCTGGCCTTAAACACCCTCCAAATAGACGAGCTGTTATTTTTACGTGATGAAAAGGGGCTTGTTGATTTGTCATGAGACTTAAAGTGATGATACACAGGGCAACTTTTTGAGCAATGTTGCTGGACAATGTTGACGTCAACGGGCAACCAGATGAGACACAGGGTCCACGACCGATCTAAAGTATCCAGATAGAAATGTATTGCCAATTTTCAATGAGAAAGTACCCAAGCAACAATCGCTCGGCAAGATTGCCCAGCAACATTGCTCAAAAAGTTGCCCTGTGTATCATCACCTTTCGGGTGTGTTCACACTTGGCACACTTGAGATTACTCTGTTAGTGTGGTTCATTTGAATAAGTGTGAGAATGCTGCCATCCGAACCCTGGTGTGCACCAAACAAGCGGACCGAGACACAACTTCCAAACGAGCTCTGGTGCGATTGCCCTGTTAGAGCTGCCATCTGAACCCTGGGCCGCACCAAACTAGCCGACCAAACCCCTGAAAACGCCCAATTTGTGCTTCAAAGGAACACACACACACAGTAAACAGCCCTGCTGACATGTACAACAGGTCTGAATTTATGTAAGATCCCAACATGATAAAAAAATAACTGCTCAAACAGCTTTTCCCATTCTTGCAAGTGAAAGCTGGGCAGCAGATGAAGCAGTTTGATTTGGCTTACCGGTTAGAGACGGGCCAGACCTTTGAGTAGCGATTAAGTAACTCTCTGGCAATTTTCAGGGACTTTGCTTCCTGATCTGGGTCAATAGATTCAGAAGGAACCAACTCAGGTTAGCAGAATGAGTACATTTCACTGGAAACACAGGTCGTACACCAAGACGAACTGCACCTTTAACCAATCAGATTTAAGTTAGACACCCTAGTTCGATTCCGTGGACCAGCACATCAGTACCAGGGTAACTTTTGACAGAGATCGGCATAATATCAGCTAAAGTAAGAGATTGTGCTGCACCAGTGTCTCTTTAAATTGTAATGGACTTACTAAGAGAGTTAGCATTAAGGGCGTGTGGGCGGGACCTTGATTACAAACATGCTTGTTATCAGAGCGTTTGACTACAGACTTACTGTGTCTGTTCTTCCCGACGGAACATACATTTCTCTTTTAGACTTCTCAATGCCTGCAGACTGAGGTTTAGACTCACATGAAACGTGTGGGTAAGCACAAACTCATCTGCTATCGCTGTGGCTTCAGAGAGTGTGTTGACCTTTTGCTCATCTAAGTGAACAGCTATGTTCTCAAGTGCACGTGTTGTGAACTCTTCTAGTAAGATAAGCTCTTGCTCAACTGCTGAAGACTTGTGACCTCACTAGAGAGACACCACTTCTCAAAAAGGGTTTTCTTCTCTCCAGCGAACTCTGCCTACATTTGTTTGGCTGGTTTTATTAAATTTTGGAAGCCTTGGTGGTATGATCCCACCTCAGCTTCTCTAAATGGCGTTTTATGTACTTTCATGACATCAGCTGGTTATCGCTTACCGACAGGGCTTGACATTAACACCCGCCAACCCACCAAATGTGGGGATATTGTAGTCTTTTAAAAAGGCCTCTGAAATAATAAACTAAGTACAATGTAGCGTTGTCAAAAAATATAGATTTATCGATATTGATACTGAAAAATCTGAAACGCTTCCAATACTCATATTCCGCAGAATTGATACACGATATCAGCTGCACTTTCTCTCTATGTCATCTCTCAGACAGCAAGTTACACACAAACCCGTTTCCCTTCACTCACTCGTTTCATTTGCTCCGGGTGAATATTGTTGGTGTTACAGGGCTTAAATTTCGGCATGAGTTTGCACGTATTGCACATAATTGTACTCATTCCGGTAGATTTTGTGCTCACACCCAAAGAGTGCGCACATAAAGCCGCCTCTCAGTGCTAAATTGAGTTCTTTTTCGCTGCTTATTGCGCTTAAACGGTAGCCTGACTTCGTCATACTCATATTCTAGTCAGTATGTGAGTCTGAGACTGCTCTATAGGGCTTTGATTATGAGGTGTGTCTTAACTGAACCAGGAAAAAAAAAAACTCTGCACTCAATTGGATAGACCTACAACCAATCAGAGCAACGCAGTAAGTGACGTATGTTGAGCTACGCATAGTTGTTAACAAAACTCAACTACACGCGTGCTGGAAGAAGTAAAATAATGAGTATTGCTTCTTTTACTTGATCCTCCATGAGTGCGACCAAAGGAGAAACCACAACGACCACAGGGTTTTCATTGCGTCCCATCTTCTTAGCGACCATCGGAGCCAGCTGATAAAATAAACTTTTGCCAAATCCCGTAGGAAGGACGGTAAACACATCTTTCCGATCGAAAAATGCTTTGATTGCTGTTCTCTGTTCGTCTTTTAAAATGAATGCACTGTCGATTTCTTTTACAACAGACGCGATATCTCAGTTCTCCAGCGGCAGTCATCTCTGAGGGAAACCAGTTCAACCCAAGCGCTCCTTGATAACGTGATGATTACGTAACTGCAGATCATCTGTCCATCATTGTATAAACCCCGCCCTGGCAATTTGATTGGCCCGACGATTTCTGAGCCGATCATAATTACTCCTCAATGGATCGAGTCCAGACCGAACTTCCCGACCAAAAAATTTTGTGGGCGGGGTTCGGGCTGGCATCCAGGCTACTTAAACGGTCAAATACACACAAAACAATGTCAAAATGAGGGTTTTGGCGAGTATTCACGTAAACACAGTCAGTTATGTTTTAGGTACACATGCGTTTTCTTCCCCAGAAGAATCACAGATGAAAACATGAAGGAACCAGATTTGTTAAATTCCTAAATATAAAGGGCTGTACACACACACACACACACACCAAGAATGACTTGACAGTTGTGCTCTATTTGCTCTCTAGCAATTGCTTAAAAAAAAATGCTCTTAATGCTCTGGGCCGAAGGTTACCAGCTCCCCTCATGCAAATAAACAATATGCACACACACACACACACAGGCTCTGTTGTTTCCTCTCTACCCGATCAGCAGATCAGTACACGTTACACACATAATCATTCTTGTTTCCGTCTTGCTCACCTGTCACTCACCCCCGTGCAGGTTTCTGATTGGCCGAGAGAAGCCAGGCGCTCAGAGTGAGGTGGCGCGTCTGATCAGCGAGACCCTGGAGCAGGAGCGCCAGCAGCAGCAGGTGGACGACGCGTACGAGCAGTCGACTGAAGAGGTCAGGCAAGCACGTCTACTGGGCCATCCCTGCACATGCATTCTACAAGTTACAAGTGATATGACAATTGTTTTGTGTAGAGTTACTTTTGCACTTTAGTTTAGTATCAATACACTTCTGTATGTTCCTGTGTATGATGTTAATTATTGGTTATAGTAGATCCTAAAGACTCCTAAAGTGTATTTATTATAAGTTCATAAGTGTGTACCAATTTGCTTAAGGTAATGTTTGCGGCATGTTATTTATGATGTCAATCAAGAAACATGATTTGGTATAGTTATGGGATCTACCTGGAGGATCATGCTATACTTTGACATCATGGTCCAGACGTACCTTTTTAACTTTATGTTAATCTTGTCAGAGGGTTTTAAGGTGCACTCGTATTTACCTTTGCTTGGCAAAATCCATAACAGAAGATGGACGTGTCTGACAGTTGCGCTTGCGTCTTTTGCAGCATCTCAAGCGTGACACGACATTCAAGTTAAAGGGATATTTCACCCAAAAATGAAAATTCTGTCATCATTTACTCACCCTCAAGTTGTTTCAAACCTGTATTCATTTCTTTTGAACACAAAAGAAGACATTTTGAAGATAGACTGGAATACTTTTTCAGCTGTAATCTCTTTAGAGCTGCTTTGTGTTGAATGTTCTCAAGTATGCAAAAAATATGTAAAAATGCGCCATGTTGAATGAGGAAACAGATTTGTGAGTTCATTCACAATCGAAATCGGGTTGTTTATACCTGTCGAGTCACTCGGTTTTTCAGGTACGTTTTGCCAGTCAATTCTTAATGGTTAATGTTTTACCAGCTATGTAACATAAGAGGAACATTACTCGGCTCATATTTGTTCATTTATGACTTATTTCTCATCTCTGCTCTATTTTTGAACTGGTTGTTTCTTGTTGTGTGTGTTGCATCATGCCTGTGTGTCTGATGTCGTCACAGGACGAGCACTACGAGGATGAGGAGGAAGGGGGGGAGGATGTCATCCTGGGTTCCAGTTTCGGCAGGAGGAACGTGGAAGTGTACGAGCTACCAGAGAGCGAAGAAGTGTTCCTGCCATCAAACATGGACACCACTCAGCTAATGTTCAGATTTAAAGAGGTAGCACCTTGCGCTTCTCATGTTTTTCAATAGTTTGCCATTGACGATTTCTTAATTCTTTGTATATTCTGTTTTAATTTCAGCTGCAGATTAAACACACCATCGCTGAGGCGGAATTAGATGAACTTAAAGAGACAGTACGAACTTATGAACCATCTTCTTATCCATTGATATCAAACGTATGGCAGTTCCTGTGTGTTTAAACGGTGATGTTTGTTTGATGGTGTAGTTGAGGGATTCGTCGGAGGAGCGCGCGGCGTGGGAAGCGAGGGAACATCAGTTAGAGAGGAGCGTTCAGGAGAACTCTGAGAGAATCGTTCAGATGGAGAAGAACTGGCTCGAGGCTCAAGCTCTCTGCAAAAGCATCAACGAACAGCTCAATGACACGCAGGGCCAATATGAAGCTCTGGATAAAAAATACAGCAAAGCCAAGAAGCTGCTCAAAGACTATCAGCAGAAGTGAGTGGAGACAACAACACCAACCTCTCCATTAATATTACCCAACATTTAAATGTTCTGTTATGTAAGGGATTTTCAGCCGTTGTTGTCGGGGGAATGAAATATCACTGGATGGCGCGATTGACCAATCAGAATCAAGTATTCCACAGAGTTTATAAGCAGTGTTTATACGCGATCATTCAAAGGTTTGGGGTTTGAAAGAAATTCATATTTTATTCAGCAAGGACGCATTAAATTGATTAAAAGTACTGCATAATGTTACAAAATATTTCCAAAACAAAGAACTTTTTGAAATTTCTGTTCATCGAATAATCCTGAAAAAGACGGTTTCCACAAAAATATGAAGTGGCAACAACTGTTCTCAACATTGATAATAATCAGAAATGTTTCTTGAGCAGCAAATCAGCATATTAGAGTGATTTCTGAAGGATCATGTGACGCTGAAGACTGGAGTAATGATGCTGAAATTCAGCTTTGCCATCACAAAAAACTGTTTATATTAAATTGTAATAAAATGTACTGTTTTTACTGTTTTTGCTTAAGGAAATGAGTGAGCAGACTTAATCTAAAGAAAGAAAGAAAGAAAAAATAACCCCAAACTTTTAAATGTTGGTGTACATTCAAAAAGATTATGCATAATTGTTTTTGCGCAGGTTTGTTTTGCTACAGTACACTTGCTTCCCCCCTGACAATTCTGTCTTCATTTATTCATCTTCATATCATCGTTTTTATCCTGTGGAAGAAGCAGTTTGAGGGAATGCCCAAGTTGTTAATTTCTGTACAATGAAAATCAGATGCTGTTGAACTCTAAAAATGACACAAAAGCTCTGTAAAAGTAGTCCATATGACTCATACACTGTCTTCTCAAGTTAAACAAGTTTTTGTAGAGGAACAAACAGATTACAGTTCTTCCGTTACACAAAGCTGTCATCAAAACTCTGGGAATATAATCTGCAAGTTCTATGGACTTGTTTTGTGATTATTTTTTTTATTACTGCTTTTTAAACTTGGAATAGTCACAGTATGTTTTAATTGTATGAACAATTTCCTTCAGTGTTTCACAGTAGAAAGTGATCCAGATTTGGAATGATATGAGAGTGAGAATCCTTTTCAGTCAACTAACCCTTAAAATGTTCCTTAAGAGTTCAGAGATTCTGATTGGCTGGATGTGTGTGTGTGTTGTAGAGAGGCGGAGTTTGAGCAGAGGGAGGAGGAGTTAAGGAGAACTCTGGAGGAGAGAGAGGCTTCATATAAAACTCAGATAGAGGATCTGCAGCAGAGGGTGAGAATTTGAACACGAACAGAAACACACTCACACACACAGCTTTCATGTTCTCTGACTTCCACCTGTCGATCTCTCTCTCTCTCGGTGTAGTTGGCCAAGCTTGAATCTGGCGGTGGTCATCATGAGTCTTCACTGTCGGGCAGTAAGTCTGCAGATTCACTTCTTTTGGGTGAGTTAAATCTCTGGTTGTTGTTTTAATAGCTCTCTGATTCCAAGAAGGATTCATTGATTGTGAGGTCATGCTGAGCCTATACTGAAGTTATAAGATGAAAAAAAAAAAATTGGGATCAAATAGTTCGCGTCAAAACCATTCACATCAGCCGCGACGTGAATTTGCGACGTTCAGAGCTTCAACATTCCAAAACTTTCGCGCCGACAGCTGAGAAAACACGGACACTTCACCATCATCACCATCATCATCATCATCATCATCATCATCATCATCATCATCATCATCATCATCATCATCATCATCATCCAGTGAAGACGAGCTTTTCGTTTTCTTTAAAAGACAGAAAAGAAGGTTTTGTGTGCACCCAAACTTAAAGAACAGAGAGTCTAAAGGGGAGTATGCTAATCTTGTAAAGTAGCTAAAACTTTGCTACAAAGAACCGGCCAAAGTAAGGATTATGCATTAAACATTTGAATTGTTTATTAATAAACTAGTGTTTTCTGTCCGTTTTCGGTATGAGACGCGCTCCAGTTCACGCGCCGGCGCCTCCGTGTCCTAATTATATTGTCTACTATATTTGCTTCTTATTCCTATTAATCCAGGCAATTTGTTGATGAAACATTGATTAAAATTAAGATACAATTTATACAAAACGAAATAAACTTTAAAGAAAGGCTTTCTACAAAACAAAACTTAATAAGTGGCCAAAATTATGTCTGACCCATTCCAAATGTTTTCGATATATTGGGCATCTTATGATCCTTATACTCATCTCATGCGGTTCCCTTTTCAAATAGATCATCAACATAGATGAAATTAAAAAAATAGCATTATATTATTTAAAAGTATATATGAAACGTATGTTTGAGTTTTTTTAACTTATAGGCCTATTTAAGCGTCACCCCGCTCTGCTTTATTTTCGCACATGCTCTGGTGTGTGGCCTATACATGCGTGCAAAAACAATACGAAACACACAACCATGAATGTTGAAAATATTCTAAATCAATTATTTCCCTCCTAGTCAAAAATATTATAAATCATCAGCATTAACTCGCCGGAGATACCAACTATCCCAGCTATGTTATCCCATGCCTCGTTCTTTTGGTCCCTAAGCAAACAACGTCATGTCATAAATGATGGGTATGCGTGCGTTGAGATGCGGAATAGGCCATATAAAAATGCTGTCATTATAAAAGGTTTCTAGTTTCAATGTATTGCTTGTTTTTAGTTTACATTTCATGTTGTGACACTTCTCTTTTCTCGCACATAATGCTGCTACGTCAGAGCGGCCAAAGCGTCAACAAGCTTCGCCTTTATTTCCATGTATGTGATTGGCTGAAGCCTTTTCTGTCGCCGAAAAAGTAAAAAAAAATCGACATCGAAGCGAAAAAAATAAGTCGTTTTTTCGCCGCAGCACATTCGTGTTCGGTGTGGAAGCACTCATTACACAAACAGCTGATCAAAAAATAAAACTATCGCGCAAATTATTCGTGCGTCAAAATCGCGTCCAGTGTGAAAGGACCTTTAAGCTAAATAAGCATTAAATGGACGTCTCACATGGGAAATCCACTCTCAGTGTTGGGATGACCTATTATGCTTTTTTTCTTTCTTTTGTGTGTAATGTTGCTATTTGAGCATGAAAAAAGTCTATATGTTCTCTAGATCAGTGCTCAGTTTCACAACTCCTTGAAAATGTCTCCATTGTAGTCTTGAGTTTTCTTCCGGGAACGAACACGTCACAATATTAGATTGTAATAATAGTTAGTAGTGTGTTGTAGTAGTGGGACGGGACATTTCCCAAACACACTGGAATCGCTTTGCGGGTTGAGCATTTAATATTTGACAATATTTGACAATAAGTAATGTTGATTGACAGACAGTAATTGATGCAAACTATTATTATTATTCTTTTTTTTTGCCATTATGAATTGAAAATTAAACAGTGTTGAAGGGCCTTAAAAAATAATTTTCTTCTGGTTTTAATTGTTTGTGGGTAAAATTTGTGATTTATCTTATTGGTTGACCCTTATAAAATCTTTCCCCGCCAGATTTTTTGAAAAAAGTTGCCAATAACTAGCATTTTTGATCATTTTCACAAAAGTTTCATGACGCCCAGAATATCTTGTTGAATGAATATCTGAAGATGCAATATATCAAAAGAAAGAATAGACACTCTGCTTTTTTTATTTTTATCAACATTTGAATGTGGGTAAGTTTCATAAAAAAGCAACATTTTGAGCGAAAGGCTGAGAAAATCTCGTTTTGTCAAAGACTACGTCTGAATCGGATTCAGAATGATGATCCAAACACAGATGGAGTAGATGGAGTCCATCAACACCCCTAAAGCTTCACAGTCCTGCAGCTCGTCCTGGGTCGACATTTCATTCAGTGACATTAGGCAGTTTTGATTTATACGCTGTTTAATGTTGATGATCACGTTATTTTACATAAACATCTGCTATGGCTTGTTTCTGCAAACAAACGGAATTATTAATGCCGGACTGAATTTAGGCTAATTGTTAAGTAACCATTTAACAGGGATAATAATGTATCATTATTGCTTAGCTAAAAATGGAAATGTCAGCATTTAAAGGTGAACTAAGTAACTTTTTTACCTTAACCGAACAGCTTTGGAGTCGTAGTGCTGGGTTTCGATTCAAATTTCAAGAATCGATTCGATTCCGATTCTCAAGATCTTGAATCGATTATCATTATTCGATTCGATTCGATTCGATCCGATCCGATCTTCGAGATTAAGATAAGTGTTTTTGAAAAAAGCATATTTTTTTTCCAGCTGTTGAATTACAGGACTGTAGTTATGCAACATATTGATACAATTATTATAGACATTTAACTGCAAATTAATGGAGTATTGATGGTTGTAAAGAACAATCCCCCTTCCAGAGTGTTGATACAACTGCTTTCACAAACTTGCACTGGTGTAGACGACAGAGGACGCAGAGGTATCAGCAGCAGTAACCGCAGAGGATTGCAAGTAACCGCAGCAACCGCGATATTCACGTTTTTTATAAGGCTATACCCTTCTTGTTTTGAACTTCATGCATGTGTATTGAATGTTAAACAAGTTCATAATGATAACAAACAAGACTGTTTATCGTGGTGATGTGTAGCCTACAGAGGCTTCGCACAGACAGTGAATGAGAGAGATCGGCAGAGCGCGTGCGATTACCTGCGTCTGTCTTTGAAGTCATATGTATTTGTGAAAAAGGTTGCCGTGTCAAAGGAAAGCGAAATATTTGTCGTATCATCCTTTTAACGTTCACGTCACGGGTATTTACCATAAATGCGCGTCAGCAGCAGCGCTGGTCAGCATCCCACTGCGCGAGGAAGCCGCGGGGAAATAAAATCAGCGAGTCACGCATTGAATCAATGCCATATTGGTCTCTAATAAGTGAAGCATCAGCTTCAGCGTTACCCATGCGACGCATTGCTGCTCAGCTGAGCCTTGAAAAGTGGAACTCAAAGTTAAAAAATAATTAACACCTTGTTTCATTACATCTCTTTTAATGAATCAGCTTTTTTGAACGTGTTCGTTGAATGAACGGTTTAATGACTCACTCAAAGCCCGTTGTCGTAACAATGTGCGCGCTGAGTGAAAGCCTTTCAATGCGCATACAGGGATCTCCCAGTCGCGGCAAGTTAAAGTTCACGGGGAAAATGTAAACCTATTAAAATCGATCCTCTGAGTTACGGATCGATCTTTAGAAATTAATATGAAAATCGATTCAGAATTGGTGAATCGATTTTTTCAACACAGCACTAATTGTAATGTTTAAATGACTGATTTCGTGTTGAATGGTGGTCGTCTCGCACCCCCCTGGTGCCTGTGAGCCGCAAAACCACCCTTGCAACTTTGGGCCGGCCCGAGTGATATCAGGTCTCGCGAGGTAACAAATTGCTTTACGGCAAAAAAACAGATCTGATAAAAATTCTGATAAAATGAGCATCAAACAGAAATAACCCGGCGCCGTATACATGTGGTGTTCGAGGCGCACATACAATACAGACTGCCGACAGTTAAACAGGGCGCGCGCAGCTCTTAAAGGGGCCATACCTTATTTCCACTCGTTACAGCGTCCATCCTACTGAACAGGTACCGGTGTACAGGGGGAGGGGATCCGGCCGTGAGTGCGAGCCATCTCTGCGTGAGTGCTATTCACGACAGTTCAAGTACTCCACAGCGACTCTAGGGGTCGCTGTTTGACAAACACGGAATTCCTACTTAGTGCTGCTTTAAAGCATGCCATAAGGTAGGGTTGGGCAATAGCCAACTGCCAAAAAAATCTGAATTTGGTATTATTGGTATGGTATTATCTCAATATTACATTTTTTTTTCTATTTGAATAAAAAAAAGAAATCTGTATTTAATTAAAAAAAAAGAAAAAACAATCATATCCTGATCTATATTGTGCTACAAACAATGTTCATATTGAAGGCTATGAAAACAAACATTGTGGGCCCTATTTTAAACGATCTGAAACGCAAGTATCAACCGCCAAACGCAAGTAACAAATGTGACCGCACCTTTCTATTTTTTTCAAAATATGTTTTGATCCAGACAAACATAGCTCATCCTGACATAGAGTACAGATATACGGGAATCCAATTCCCTGAGAAAACTGTGTACAAACGGACCAGAGCGTCTTAAATTCTGCCCACATTGCATATAGTGCAATTTACAGGGAATGAGCGAGTCATTTAGACAATTGGAGAGCTTTCCAAAGGTCTCCAAAAGCGTTGGTTGATGATTAGTGGATTGTTCTCCAGGACCGGACTGGAGTGAGGTGGTTCCCGAGACGGAGCGTTTGGACACCAGCGCCCATCGTGCGAGGGCCCATCCGGCTCAGAGGTCCAAACGCCAGCCCCCGTCCCGAAGCAAACTGAAAGAGATGCTCGGCTCGCCGACGGGACAAGCACAGGTCACAAAGAGCTGGAGATATTCATGAGCAAACCCAATACGTCTCTTTTAATGTCTTTGAGGTTGGATGCGCTTGTCTCTTTTCCAGGGTGAGGATGACAGCGAGTCTTTGAGTCCAGATTCTCCACTGACCCGTAGGAGATCAATCCAGGAGAGCTTGTCCCTGCCGGTGGCCATATCTTCCCCTGCAAACCACCCGAAGGATGAAGCATCTGTTACGAGCAGCAGCCAATCAGTGCAGAGGGATCCACAGGGCCCCGCCCTCTCGCCCCCTAAAGACTCCTCCCCCTCCAGCTTCCTGAGGAACGTGAAGAAGAGAGAGTCCAAAGGCAAGGGCAAAGAGGTCAAAGGTAACTAGCTGGATTTAGAATGGCGCTTTTTACAATTATCTATTTTCTGCCTAGCAACAGCAATATGATACAAAAAAGACCTATTCGGGATATGAATTCAGAAAAATTATCTTTTTTTAATTGATTTTTTCCATCTGGTGAGTGATAAAAACAATGACAGCCAATCAGAATCCTTCCTGCTTTATAGAGCTCGAGCACTCAGCGTATAATAAACAGAACGTTATCTTCCGCTGGTCTGGACGCTGCTATAAGTTATCATTATAGGTATATTTACAGTTATCGTTCTTGGAGAAATGTTGCACTGGAATGCCATGTTTTAAAGTAGTCCGACTGGTAAGGGATTTTGCCCCAGAGTTTTCTCATTACTACAACAAGACCAATGCAAATCAATCCATGTTAGCCAGGCCATCAGATGTTTGTCTGTGTTTGTGTTCTGATACAGTTCTGTTATTCATTTCAGACGAGTCTAATGATGCAGCGGGAAAACCCAAAAGAAGATTCCCAGATTTTGGGTTGGTGCAAAAAACACACAAATCCCCAGCATCCTCCATAGTATCTTACAAAATCAGTACATGAGCCTCTCATGTTACTTAGTTTTTTCTTATTGTAAGTTCATTATGATTGTGTTGTTGTATATAATGCATGTTGTTTCTGATAGTGGTTTAAGGAAATCTGGAGGAAAGGGGAAAAAAATGAACAAAGAATCTAAAAGGGCGTCACTGGACAGCAGGTACACATGAACACACACTCACACACTGATGACATTTTCACAATTCAACTTTTAAGGTGGATACAAATCCTTTTGACATTAGAGGTTTGTCAGTGTAAAAGCTGTTCTCCCAAATCTGGTCCTCTGTAAGGAAGCATCATTGTGTGTTTTGCAAAGTTTGCTGCTTCTGTATTTGTAGATTTTCTTTTCCTCACGTTTTAATTTATCTACAGTGTTGAATCTTCGGTAACGCTTCCTTTTACAGTCCTGTTACACTGTAAACCCTAACGCTCAAAATACTTAGTTTAATTTAAGATTTTCCTACTCAAACCAATTAATTAGTTCAGTCAAATGAACTTTTATGAGTATTTAGCACTTTCTTTTTCTTTCAAGTTCACAGAATGGATATATTTTAAGTAAACTGAACTGTTTCATTGTTTTGAGTTTTATGAAATTATTTCTTTTAATTTAGACGAACTTAAGTTTAACTGAAACGGCTGGGATGTATATTTCCCAGCATGCTTTGCCGATGGCACTCGAAAGGGAGAGTAAATGCTAAAATTAAGTGTAATACAATGTTTTTTTGTGCAAGATTAATGTTAAGCGGGTGATTTAGTAATGATTAATGTTTCGTTATGCTAATTTAGAAGAATTTCTGTTAATGTTGGTTTTAGGATAATTACCATCATGGTGACAAGTGGTGCATGAGCTTGATTTGAGAGCAAATAAAACCTTTATATTGATGCAAGTGTTACTGTATAGCATACAATTGTTAAGATGTTAACAAAATAGTATGTTAGCAAACTAGCTTGTTAAAGCTAGCTAAGTTTATACTAATAAAAGTGTTCACATTGAGATTACATGAAATTTTAAGTTAAATGTATGAATTAGTGTACTCAAACATTTCAAGTTAAGAACAATTCAAATGTACAAATACAAAATAAAAGTGTACAGTGTATCATTTTGATGATTACAGCTTATGAAATAAGCGAAATTAGAATATTGCGAAAAGGTTTTCATAAGCCATAATCATCAAAATGATAACAAATAAAGGCTTGAAATATCTCACTTTGCATGTAATGAGTCTATATAATATATTAGTTTCACCTTTTAAGTTGAATTACTGAAATAAATGAACTTTTGCACGATATTCAAATTTTTCGAGTTTCACCTGTAAATAAGGGTGACTTGGACATGTAAAGCCCCGTTCACACTACACGCGACTTTGTCGCTGCAAGTCGCCAGTTGCTGGCGATGAGGTCGCTAGTGGGCGTTCCCACTACTGGTTGACTAGTATGACATCCAAAAGACAGCGAATCAGCTTTCTTGCCATCCATCACTGCAGGCACAGGGGCTGAGGAGAAGGATCACGTGCGCTCCACTCCTATTGGTTGTCGCTCGCGAAAATCGCTCTTCATTTGCATAAAGTAAAAAATTTCTCAACTTTGTCGCGTCGCTAGACACGCCCCATCTAGTCGCCAACGGTCGCGCGTGTCGCCGGAAGTCGCCCGCTCACCATTGAAATGAATGGTATCGCGTCGCTTGGTCGCGTGTAGTGTGAATGGGGCTTAAGGCCATTTTAATGCAAGGCGATGACGTCTTTTAGTAGCCTGGGAAAACCCAGACAACTTCCGGCAAATTTAGATTTGCTCTGAAAGTTAGTCTGGCAAAGAGCTCATTCAAGCCCATTTCCAATCCGTCGAAATCGAGGCACCAATCAGAAACGTTGGGGCGGGCTTTACACGATGACGACAGCGCTGGGATTTTGAAGCAGATTTTGTAGCCTACATTACAAAGATGGATGCCGCCGTCGAACATCACTCGTTCGAATCAGCTATCGCGTCTGTTTTAAGCCATTTGAACGTTTCCTTTTAGTTAAAAACCGAGCAAAGAACAACACTCGGAGATGATTCTCCGCCGCTCTGCATACGTCATCTCCTTCATCGCTCTGATTGGGTTTAGGTCTATCCGCGACGTCCGTTGGTGACGCCCCTCTGGAAATGATTTGTCTATGACGCTTTTTTGCAGACCATAACTCAGTTACAACTCAGAATGGTCTGGTTTTAACCAGGCTAGTCTTTTAGAGGAAACCATTGCAAACAAGAAAAAAATGGTTGGAAGGGAACCTTTAATAATCTGCTCTTATAATCCAATCAGAATCATAGTGGTTTGTTTTCCTAAACCAGGACTTGTTCACACTTTCCCATATGCTGATGATACGATTAGTGAAATGATGTTTGCTGGTCTTTTCATGCCAGGGCCAAAACAGTGAAATTTGTGTTTTGAAATTACCGTAAAATTGTGGCTATTTCGCAATTATTTAAAACACATCTTTTCACTCTAGAAACATTGTAAATCAGCAACATTACAACTGAAGCAGCAAACGTAGCTAAACACACACTCTGTCACTGCCAACACTGTATCGGCTGTATGTGTATGGTCTGGTCTCGGTGTTGCAGGGGTTCAGCAGAGTTACTGGAGGAGTCCGGGGTGCGAGTCTCTCCGTCAGAGTCCATGACCTCCATCCCCACCTGCATGCCCTTCTCCTGGTTCGGAGAGAAGGACAAAGAGCGAGACCGAGAGCCGTCGTCCTCCACCAGCAGTCTCCCATACACCACTGCAGACGCCAGCGAACACACACACAACTCCAAGAACAAGGTGAGCACTTCTTCTCTCACGGGGCGGTTCTGCGCAGGAAACCCGAACCGATTCTCTCGCATAGATTAAAACTAATTCAGAACTGAAACATAATGACTGTTAATTGACTGAGTTTGTGTATGGACATTTTACACCATTCATAAAGCAATTATCTTACTATGTGGAGTGTGAATTCTGACATCACTATCTGGTATCATTACTTAATTCATATATTGATCCTTGTAGTTTCAGGGCTAAAGAATATGTAAATCACAATGTCTAAATATATCAAATCTGACACATATGTGGCACATTTCACAAATAGAATACAAAAAAGGGATTATATGAGCTGTTTTTGTGTTCATTTCTAGCAAGAAACATTAAACAAGCATAGAAATCAAGCAAAATTGATCAGATTAGGCCGAGTTTTTAAAACTAAATAGTATTAATGCTAAGTTAATCATATTTTAAAATAGTTTATGCTTCTCTTTAATGCTTCTCACAACAAAAACATGAGATGTCAAGGGACACCAAAGTGAATCATATGATTCATATTCTTTAAAAAATGTCCATCATACCATTCACAAGTTTGGGTTTGGTAAGATATTTTCATTTATTTGATAAAAAATACAGTAATATTGTGAAATATTATAAGAACTGTTTTCTATGTGAATATATTATAAAATGTAATTTATTCCTGTGATCAAAGCTGAATTTCCAGCATCATTACTCCAGTCTTCAGTGTCACATGATCCTTCAGAAATCACTCTGATATGATGATTTGCTGCTCAAGAAACATTTATGATTATTATTATTAATGTTAAAAACAGTCGTGCTGCTTCATATCTTTATAGAAACTAGGATATCAATTTTTTCAGAATTCTTTGATGAATATAATCTGAAATACATATTTTTTTAATAATGTAAAAGTATTTACTGTCACATTTGATACATTTAAAGCATCCTTTCCTAATAAAAATATGAATAATAAAAAAAAAACAGTAGTGTATGTACTATTGACTCATATGAGTCACATGGGAGAACTAACCAGCTTTCTGACAACACACAAGACTAAAACTAAACCACAAACAACACATATCTGGCATCCAGCTGGACTGGGTTTAGTTTGTTATCAGTTGTGAGATGCTAAGGAGAAGCAGTCAAAGTGTCTGCAGGCGTATGGATATGATCAATAACCAGACGCCGCGCGTGTGCTCAGAATATGAACCGCCTCCAGCCGAAGCGTGTTTGGTAAAGCTTTGGGACAGTGATGTCATATTATGAACCCCTCTCCCCGAACAGACAAACCTCTCCTGGTCTTCTCTGTTCAGTCGCTCCTTAGATTTGGTACAGTATATTTTCTCTTTTAGACGCTCGAATGTAATCTAGCGATGTAGTGAGATTCTAGCTGAATATCAGACCTAGTGTCTAGCATTAATAGTTGTAGAATCACATTAGTGTGTGTGTGTTTGTTCAGTAATGCAGTGCACTAGATGCATGATGCTGCTTATAAATTCATCAGATTTATTTGTGCAATCACTCTTTTTTTCTTCTTTTTTTTTCAAATGATTATTTTTCCAAACAACATTGTTGCTTGTAGATGCATTACGCTGCCGATCTGGTTTAGTATGTGGGGATTGACCGATATAATGCAATATTAATAGGAATGTTGAAAATGTTGATTACTTTAATTTTGATGAGCCGATATTGATTCTTAAATTCAAACGTGTGGTTTTGTCGCTCTTCAAGCAGCACGTAAACCGATCATCTCTTCCTCTTTACTACTAGTTATAGCATGAAATAAACGTAGATGAACATCAGAAGGAATGATGAAAGAAACAGTACTGTAACTCTACTGTAACTTACTGAAATGTCTAATGTAATAATCGCTGTTCAAGACTTCTATAAAACAGCTTGTAAACAATGTTGCGTAGTTACATTTACCTCAGAAAAGCCAATCAATGACCGTATCTCGATAGTTAGCTATAAAAAAATAACTAGAGAGGAGAATTGTAATAAATATATGCCGTATATTGCATATTCATTATATTTTTACTCAAGCTAGTTAGTTATGTTTACTGTTTAATAAATCTTTCAGGGAAACAACCATTGTTTAAATTAACAAATGGAGTATAGAAAGATAATTCAATTAAAAGAAGTTAAGATAAAAACTGCCTTATGTGCAATTTTTAAACGTTTGTATACAACTCAGTTTTTATTTGAGTGTTAATTATATCCAAAAAAATAAATAATCGCAATTGAATTGAATAGTTTGGACTCTAATTTTAACCTTTAATATTATTGTAATGTGCCAACGTACAGGGTTTCCCGTCTACTTTACAGCATTAGTGGGTTGATATTTGTTTCCTTTAAATTGACATGTACTGTAGTAGCTGATATGCAGTACAACCAAATGAATCAATATCAAAATTGAATCAAATCAAAGCTTGTGAATCTAATCGATTCAAGAAACCAGTAACAAGTCGAGCTGTACGATTCTGGATAAACTGAGAATCAAAAACAGTTTTCAAATAGAGATCATGATTCTCCCACTATACAGACAACTAAACTAAAATAATGTGTAATTTACTAGAGGTTCTGACAAAACCTCTTATTTTCGAGAGAGAAAAAAATCAGTTAGAACGAATGATTCAATGATTCACTCATAATGACTCCACTTGTTTCAGCGTTTTAGATGAATCTCTTGAATGAATGATTTAATGATTCACTCATAATGACTCCACTTGTTTTAGCGTTTTAGATGAATCTCTTGAATGAATGATTCAATGATTCACTCATAATGACTCCACTTGTTTTAGCGTTTTTCGGTGAATCTCTTGAACGAATGATTCAATGATTCACTCATAATGACTCCACTTGTTTCAGCGTTTTAGATGAATCTCTTGAATTAATGATTCAATGATTCACTCATAATGACTCCACTTGTTTTAGCGTTTTTAGGTGAATCTCTTGAATGAATGATTCAATGATTCACTCATAATGACTCATGATTAAAAGAGAAAAACATTTATAAGTAATTTGTCGGCACCTACTGGTGATTTAATTGATACAATAAACTTTTATCCTAGTACTTCTGCGATAATTCGATTTATTGACACTGTAAATAGTGTGCTGTACATACACACACATGCAGCATATTATGTACAATCAACAGGACTATAATTTGTTTGTGTTGTAGTAATGTGAATTGATTATGAGATGCTCTGCGGCTGTGCATCAGCTCATTCTCTAGGCGTAAAGAGCTGAGAATCCCCCAATATTTGTGTTTGGATAACAAATCCTGCTTTCTGTGCCCGTTCCAGAGTTTGTCAGTGCTAGATGATTCGAACCATAGCAGTCCTGCTCCAGATTTGTCTGGGCTGGTGGTGGAGCCCAACCTGTCGGGCCGCTCTCACACATTAACCTTCTCCTCCAGCGAGGTGAGTGCAGATCAGACGTCGCCTTCGTTTGCATGGCTTTCCTGTGGCGTGTGAAGGGTCCTCTGGAAGGTCAAGCATTGTCTCGATTCGCTCATGGAGTTCCTGAGTTAGTTATTTTTACTCTGAATGTGTGTGCTGATGGAGATCTCGTCTCATTTCATGTGTCCGTTGTCAGTAGTGTTTGTTTTGCATGACTAGAGGATCGGATGCATGTGGCGTGAACATAAGCAGATAGCGTTCATTCCATCCAAAACACATGCTGTGTGTTTTTTGCATTATGGTATTAGAATTTTGGATAAACATGTTATTAATTGTAATGAAAATGATGGGCCTTAAAGGGATACTCCACTTTTTTTTTGGAAATAGGCTCATTTTACAACTCCCCCAGAGTTAAACTGTTGAGTTTTACCGTTTTTGAATCCATTCAGCCGATCTCCGGTTCTGGCGGTACCACTTTTAGCATAGCTTAGCATATTGTAAAATGAGCCTATTTCCAGAGGTGTAGGGGTAAAAAAAAGAGGTGGGTAAACTATAAATTCTGGTGGACCACGACGTGGTCACCCGGTAAGGTGGGCCACTGCCTACCGGTGTATGTGTATCTCCTGATGACATTGCTATAGGGAGGGCTCGACATTAAGCCTTTTCATACGCTTGTCCTTCGGACAAGTAAATCTCACTTGTCCGAGTAAAAAAGTTTCTCGTCCGGATTTTTTTTTTGTGTTAATTTATTCTGAACAATATTCTCATCAGTTTTCAATCAGCTTTGATATTTAAATTCGCATTTTGTAATATCTGCACCTTTAAAGGGCATCACCTCCCCCAATATTATTAAATGTATGCTTCATCTTTCATTTTAAATTCCTAAATTTGATCAATAAATTCAATTATTTCGAATAAGATACTATAGGGCTGATCAAATTAAATCATTTACACTGAAAAATTACAATTGCATAAAATAATGTTATGAAATTGATTTAAATTTACAAATAAGAAACGTTGGAAAGAATGATCTACTTTTAAACATAACACTAAACCGCCAGTAGGTGGCGGCAGGCGACCGTCTTAATGAGTGAGTCATTGATTCATTCATTCAAACGATTCGTTCAAACGGCTGATTCATTCAAGAATGAGACAGATGTTTATGAATGGGTCATTGAATCTTTGACTCAATCGATTCGTTCAAAATGCTGAATCATTCAGTAATGAAAACAGGTCGACTGTTCCTGTGAGATGCGCCGTGGTTCTGCTGTGATTTTTGTTTGGAACTATTTTCGCTGCTGAAACAGAACTGCAAACAGCCATATTGCATCTAAAATGTAAGTGACTTAATTTTAACTGTTTATTAAACTGTTGTAGGAAATCAATGTCACATTTTCAATCGTGATGGTGTTCAGGAAAAATAATTGAGGTTGCTTATTATGTTAAAAATATAAAAACTCCACATTTAGATTTTTTTATAGGCAGTATGAGTGTGTGTGTGTGTGTGTGTGTGTGTGTGTGTGTGTGCGCTCATTTGTGTAGATTTCTCCTCGAGAGGCTGCGCGAGCGTCAACAGCGCAACCTTACCGTCAGTAATAGTCAACAACACTGACAGTAATGCAGCGCAATATGAAAGAGTTCGTCTTAGGTTTAACAACCTATGTAACTAATAATGAACAATATGAAAGTAAAACGACATAAGCTTAATTTATAGCTATTTAGAGGTGGATAAACGCACTTTGGAGGTGGGTAAACGCTATTTCCGAATATTGGGAGGTGCGTAAACGGCGTTTACGTGCGTTTAGTCTCCACTACATCCCTGCCTATTTCCAAAAAAAGTGGAGTATCCCTTTAAAGGGCCAAACGGTCAAAATATGTTTCTTTCTTGTTTGATTTTGAGGTGAAATCTGGCAGGTTTCATGAGATTCATGAGATTCACCTGGTGTGTGTGTGTGTGTGTGTGTTAGATGCTGGATGAGGAGCCTTGCTCTGGAGGGAAGGAATATCACTGGCAGACCCGTCCGGTCTCTGATTGGACGTCCCAGCAGGTGTGTCACTGGCTGATGGGTATGAACATGGATCAGTACACACCTGAGTTCAGCACACAGGCCATCGATGGACAGCAGCTCCTGAACCTGGACAGTGACCGACTCAAGGTGAGCGGGCTGAGCACTCAGAGGAGGATATGATGTCAGTCATTTTCTGAAGAGAACCGTTTCTAATCTGATCTTAAAGGGATAGTTCACCCAAAAATATCATGCCATCATTCACTCATCCTCAAGTTGTTTCAAACCTGTATGAGTTTCTGTCTTCTGCTGAACACAAAAGAAGATATTTTGAAGAATGTTAGTAACCAACTGACTTCAATAGTAGGAAAAGAAAAATACTATAGAAGTCAATGGGGTCCAACAACTGTTTGGTTACTCATATGCTCTGATGGACTTAAAAAAATAAATATCCCCATTGACACCCATTATAAAGCTTGGAAGAGCCAGGACATTTTTTAATATAATTCCGATTGTATTCGTCTGAAAGAAGAAAGTCATGTACACCTAGGATGACTTCAGGGCGAGTAAATCATGGGCTAATTTTCATTTTTGGGTGAACTATCCCTTTAACCAGTATATTGCCCACCCTTAACAATAGTGACATGAAATGATTTCAGGGATATTTTGGCTTCACAGTCAATGATATGAATGCAAAAATGAAAGCACAATCTTTTAGAAAGATCTCCCCCTGGTGGCTGGCTGCAGTATAGCTCATAAACCCCGCCCTCTCCATGTAATCCAATGGGATGCGAGTCAAATTAAAAAATGCAATTACACTTTTTTTTTTTTTTTTTGTGGTCATTTTAGGCAGTTTTTCCAATAAGTTTGGTTTTAGTTTAGTTGGTTATTTGATGCTAAGTCATGATTGACAGCTGTGCTTGCCTAATACACTTCTTTTTACTTCAAAATGCAACTGGTATATTGGCAGCCGTAAGTGCCTCAATGCCACTGTCGTCTGCTGATTTGTAAACGCTCTCCCGCAGGCTCTGGGTGTGTCCAGTCAGAATGATCGCGCCATCATCAAGAAGAAGCTGAAGGAGATGAAGAAAGCGCAGGAGAAGATGGAGAAACAGCGGGAAAAGCGTGAGAAAGAGGCCAGACGCAGCGGACGCCTCCCCGCCAGCACTGACTCACTCTGCTGAAGATCATCAGTGTCACGCTTTCTTCTCTTCGTCTCCTTTCATTCCTGTTTGGCAGACTGGGACCACTTCCTTCAACACACACACACACACACACACACACACACATGAGTCGTTCTAAAGGAGTCACTACAGAGAATATCCTCACATACGGTCAGTAATAACCTGTGCTGAAACACTAATGAAGCTGCTTATGAGAACATCTTCACACACAAATATGAGCAGAATATACATGTTCGTCTAGAGGTAGTGAATTAATAACACAAGCGTTTACAGACTCTACCCAGTTTTGGGCCTGTTGCCTTCACTGTTAAAACTAGATTTGTTTTTTTAAACAGTATTTTTTTCTTTTTACCATTAAAAAATCTAAACCTCCTAAAGCAAGATAAATGCATAAGAAGCAAACGAAATTTGGTTACATTTGTTAAAATAAAAGCTTAATTTACCAGTGAAGAAAAATACATTTAAAATATTTTTTCAGAGAATATGAAATCAAGACAAAATACTGATTAAGAAAATGATTTTTTTCCTATTAGACTAGGTTGGGAGAGAATGAATATGGCTGTCCAGTGTATAGCTGACCAAAACTTTTATTAGTTTTAATTGTATTTTATGAAACCACTGTAAGGGCTATAAAAACACTCACTTAAGGGATATATAAATATTTAGATGCCTATTTTCACAACTTCGCCACTAACATTGTGGCACGGATAGTGCTTTTAAAAAGATTTCATGTTGTATTTTTAGTACTTTTTGCTGGAACCTTGTACAGTCGAGTGATATTGAGCACTATATTTTTTACTATAACAAAGGGGAACATGGTTTATAAATGTACAAATGAAATATTTTATACACGACTATTAGCATAGCTTTAAGGAAAATGCATTAACTTTTGTACACATTTTCTACTAAGTAGAATAGCTTGTTGGTTAAAACCATTTAGCTAATTCTGAAAAGCAGAGAGTGAAACTCAGTGAAAGGTGTTTGTACATCTAATCTTGATAAATACATACTGTTGGTTGTTTTTATTTGGACGGTTACTGCTTTTTATGTTATGGATATATGGTGCAGAAATACTTAATTGTTACAAAACATAGCATCGTTTTATTAGTTGCCATCACCCAGATTTAATTTCACTAATAACAAAGGATGTAATGAATACTGGATTTTCATGACTGTAAGCTTGCCACATGTGCTCATGTCATCATGATTCTGTGTCCTGTTGGTTATATTTTTCTACCTTGTAAAATAGATGATTTTGGACACAAAGTCTGTAAGACAAAATCAAGCTTTCTATCTGGTACAAAGTGCATAAGCTGCAAAATAAATGCTTTCACCTCTCGTAGAAAAGATTGTGTGTGTTCAATCCATAATGTGGTTTCTTTTACAGTATAAAACAGTTTTCAGAACATACAATTTAGAAAGCCTTTTCAGTCACAGCTCAGTTACCTATTAAAGGTAGGGTAGGCAATTTCAGAGAGGCTAGCAAATTAGCGAGCTAGCTTTGAAAGCATGAGATCCCACCCTCCCTTCAGAGCGTCTCCAAAGCCACTCCTCCTTTAAAACACATGAACGTGTACAGCAGCAGGAGCAAACAAAAGCGTCACGAGAGACGACGTTAATCTATCTCGTCTCAAAGCACATAACAATACCATAATAATGAACATAAACAACTTAAAGGTGCATTATGTAATATTTAGGAGGATCCGTAGACAGAAATGCAATATAATATACATAACTATGATTTCAGTGGTGTATAAAGGCCTTTTTTAATGAAGCGTTATGTTTTTATTACCTTCTGTCTACACACACCACGGGTCCCCTTACACTGAAATAGCCATTTTGCGCCGACATGTTTCTACGGTGGCCCTAAACGGACAAACGGGTTTCGTTACTACGTTGTTCTTCGTGCAAAGACGCTAGCTAAAGTCAGCGAATGAAACACTGACACAATGATGAACAAGTAACAATAATATTCACAATAACATATCGTTTTACTGAATAATAAAGTGAACATTTCTTAATTTATCTTTGTAAAGAAACCTCACTGCTGAACTGGCTACTCTCTGCTGTCTGAGACGACGACATCACTTCCTGTCGGCCACCGCAACTTCTGTTGGTTGTAATACGCAACATCACCACTAGATGCCGCTAAAATCACACTGTACCTTTAAAGAGCTCCTGTACCACCTGACTGCTGCAGATTCATAATTCGCGTCACGAACCGCTCCGAGTTTAACAGCAGGGGTTTCCATCTCTTCTAGATTACAGGAGGTATGTAAGCTGGTTGTTTTGGTTCAGGAGGAACTGTAAGAGGCGGCTGCGGTTTCGTTTGTGGCTCTCAGTGACTGACGTCTGTCTAACTCTGCACAGCATGAAACGTTCTGATGACGTGTGATGTCTGCGAGAGCATGTGTGTGTGGAGGTGTGGAAATGCATACACTGACAGGTAGGGAGGACATCGTATCATTGCATTCAGACCGACTGCAATGATTAGACGAACATTTTAGGGTCCTACGCCTTGCACACATGATATATATATACATATAAATACATTTAGAGCACTTAACTTAGTGATTGCTATCAGGATGTGAAGAGACTTTCAACCAGCGTAACAAAAAATGTTTCTAGAACAAATCACCTACCCTGAATTTAAAGGGATAGTTCACTTCAAAATGAAAATTCGGTCCTCATTTACTCGCCCTCAAGTTGATTCAACCCTGTACTAATTTCTTTCTTCTGCTGAACAAGATATTTTGAAGAATGTCTGTAACCAAACAGTTGATGGACCCCGTTGACTTCCATAGTAAGAAATAAAATACGTAGTTTTAGGCAAAACCATGATTTTCTCAGCTTTTTGTTCATAATGTTGCTTTTTTATAAAACTTACCCACATTCAAGTGTTGATAAAAGAAAACAAAATGTACAAAGCTAGATTTTATTATTTATTTTTTTAAAGCAGAAGCTCAGTTCTTTCTTTTGTTATATTGTATGCACCAAAATATTCTGGGGACCATGAAACTTAAAGTCCCCGTAAAACCGGAAGTTGCAAACGACTTTTCTCCAGTGTTGTGACGTATTTCCGAGAGAAACGGAATACTAAATGAGCCAAAATAGTGGGCGTGGCTTTTTTTCCAACTAGCACCTGATTGGATCTAAAAAAGTAGGTGTTTTCATTCAGCCTGTCTACTGTCAGTTGGAGGGGCGTGGTTACTAATGTTAAGCAGACACCCAAACCGTCAAACCTACGTCATCAGGGAAGGTCCTCCAATGCAGAGGGGAGGGGAAATTTCAGATTTTGATTAAAGATTACGAAGCCAAAAAATTTTTTTGTGTGGATTGACTTGCATGGATGAATTGTTCACCACAAAACGATCAATTTAGGCAAAGTCAGTCAATTTTGAATTCATGGGGACTTTAAGAAAATGATCAAAAATGCTGGTGCTTGCTGACAACTTTTTAAAAAAAGTGCATTATAATGCAATGTGCTCTGAACACGAGACAAGTCTCATGAAAACATGTCAAATAATAATAATAATAAAAACATAAACATTTAAAATATTGAAAAAAGAAAAATGCATTCTGACAGTGTAATATGTGATTCATTTTTAGTTCCTCAGTAAGAAAACTTGCATGAACTGACTTCACATCCACTAAAAATCCTCTAATCAATAATTGACTAAGTTATTGCAAAAGTGAAGTTAGATATTATGAGGAAAGCGTAATGACAGACATTTTAAAGCGTACAATCCATTTGAACTGAGGCTGCAGTTACAGTCCGTCTCCAGTAGAGGCCACCGGAATTAAACCCAGTCCTTTATTGAACAGAATGAGTTTCGAACAACTTAACACTTGTTTAAATCCATCAAGAGAAGCACACAACTCACACAAACATGCGTTTTGTCACTTAAGTGCCTGAATTGTTACTTAGCGGAAGCTGAACATTTTCTGGTAGTGAGAAGCATATAACAGTAAACTATTCACGCTACACTCAGTTAAAAAAAAAAACATTTCTTTAGACCTTTCGAGCTTTTCATCGTCTCTGAAAACAACGTATGTAACACATGGGACTGTGTGTGGAATGTGAAGTCCCAGTTATAGAAATTAAAGCAATAATGATCAACATTACAGTCCATCTCATGATGATGGATAAATAAATACTGACTTACACATTTAAATATAGAAGCAAGAGAAAACACCCTGGATCTCACTCAAAGGTAATACACACTCAAAATACACCAGAACAGCAACTGCATTATCGTCTATCTGGGATGTGATGGCACTTAGTGCTAACTTCCAATACTGGGACCACCTGTTAAACTTCCTCGTGAGAACACACTCGAAACACGTGGGGTTTCAGCATGCTCACGTTCGTAACACCGTCTCTGATTCTTCAACACGGGCAGACGGATGAAGAGAAGATCTGCTGAAGGTACAGGGTTCGGGACGGGTCTAGGCGCTGCGGAAGGTGGTCATGTCTTTGGGCTCTTTGCTGGGAACGCACCAGTCGTCGGCCTCGTGGATGGTTTTGTAATGTTTCCAGGCGGATTTGTTGTAAACGGGAAGCCTCTCGATGGACTCGGTGGACAAAGCCTTCAGGAATCCAAACAACACGTTATTATAAATGGAATTCAGGAGAGAAAAAGAAAATAAATCAAACACTCATTTCAGAGGGAAAGCTAGTCATGTGGGTGAACCTTACAAAAACATGCACAGGTCTTCACTTGTAATATGTATTATTATCATACGTGATCATTAAAATGTTTGGGGTTGGTTAGAATTTTTATTTCTGAAAATAGTCACTTATGTTCAAGTGATTTTTAAGTATTTGATCAAAAATACAGTAAAACAGCAATATTGAGAAATGTTCATATTTAAAAGAACTATTTTCTATTTTGAAATCCGTTTTTTATTCCAGTCTTCAGTGTCACATGATTCTTCAGAAATCATTCAGTGTTAAAAAATTGTAGCGCTGCTTAATATTTTTTCAGAATTCTTTGATGAATAGAAATAATTTTTGCAACAATATGTACCAAGTGAATGTCTTTACTGTCACTTTTGGTCAATTTAATGCATCCTCAAAAAAATAAAAAATAAATGCAATATTTATTTCGAACTAATTTAAAATAAAATCTATTTTTGAACCGTTTTGGATTGTGACATGTGATTATTAAACATATCGGTAGAGGCTTCCCATTGTTTCAAATTCTCAGTGTAATGTGTCAAGATATATTTCTATTACATTCTCATTACTGTAATACAATGTTTTTGTTTTTTACCCCCATATTACTGTGATGAGATTTTTTTTTTTTGCATTACAGTAAAAAGAATGTCATATTTCATAATAAACCAAAAATTACTTAACCCTTTAAGTGTCAGCCCCCCCCTCCCCCCTCCCTCCCTCCTTTTTTTTAATATACACGAAAATGCACATTTCAAACTTAAATGGTTGTAATTCAAGAATGCTTTGGAATATAGACGTAAGATTGGTCTCGGTTTAAAGAAGACAGTTGGCAGATGTTTGTAGAAGTGAAATAAATTAAGAAAGTGAAACAGAAAAAAAGTTATAGAAGTTTGAGTTTATGAAAATGTACAATGTAAAAAATGTAATTATTCATATTTTATAGAAAATATATATTTTCGAAACCTGGGCGACTCTAAAACTGCAAAAAAATCAAAGTAAAAAATCTGAACAAGTTGTGTTTCAAATTTTAGGTTGATATCTCAAAAAATGAGCTTTCAGTGAGATTTTGTTTGGGTGCAGTACCAAACCTTTTCACTAGATGACAACCAGACTCCATTACTGCCCATATAAGGGCGCCTCCATTTCCATATGTTTTGAGTGATATGAACCATTATTTCCACAATTTTCATACAATTTATGCAGTAAACATCCTATTCAGAAGTAATATGAGAAGTTTGGCAGATTTTGATATGAATTCAACCTCTAAGAAACACACAAAAAGAACAAGTATGTGCGTTATAGCTTGCTGCCACATCACAAATGGTGAATCTATCATTTTTTTCTTTATATTTAAAAAAAATTCAGACCTTTTTTTCTAAAATAATTGAATGGATGCTATCTTTTGAACTCTTGGCATGAAAACAAACTGAGGTTTCTACCCTTCTTTCATGATTTTTCATGTTCATCACTATTTCAAAATAAAGGTCTAAACACGCCTTAGGAGTATGAAAATTGATAAATTATGGCTCCTCTGTAATTCATTTTGAAAATCAATGACCAAATATGGAAACTAGAGATTGTAAGCTTTCAAATTATATATAGTTTGTCAAGATTAGTTTAGGTTTAGTATAGGATATTACTGTTTTAGAAATGTAATGGATTTGGTCCCACCGGTGGGTCGGTGACACTTAAAATAGAATACATTTTCTGTAATAATAATAATGAAAATAAGTACCGGTATATGTTTTTGAGTGGATGAAATACAGTTTTTACTCACTCTAATGTAAATGACGGCATCTGTGCCGAATCCCTCCATAGAGTAGAGCTTCAGGTCACCCTGGAAATATCTGGCGTACAGTTTGGAGAGGGGAAGCCCGTAACCAAAGCCAGCCTGAGACCACAACACAACACAGCAAACATTTACTCTTAATAAACATATTGTGGGGGTGCTTTGACGTCTCATTTAAGACTTTACATTTGCCATTTTTATTGATCGAAAAGTTGAGACGGCAGGAAATAATGAAGGCAAGAGATGAAGAAATGCTGGCTCGAACGTCCCACATCCACATGAGAAGCACAACCCCATCTGTCTGAGCTTGTACCTCAATCACTAAGCCACAGTTAACTTTCTCCCCATTAAAAAAGAACCTGAAAGATTGCGGACTGGGTTATATGTTCATATTTCAGTGGTGTCTCATACTGACCAGAGGAGTGGCTCGAGACGTGTCCATCTGAGGACGAGGAGCAGTGGAGTAGGTGTACGTGAACAACCTGTCAATCTTCCTCAGTGGAACTCCGCCTCCACGATCACTGACCTATGACAGAGCGAGATGAGAGTCTGTCATCATGAATCACATTAGCCAATCATCGATCAAGGATTCTGACAATAAGTGCACCCTTATGTAGCTTCAAATCTGTACGACTGACTTTCTTCTGTGAAACATAAAAGAAGATACAATGGAAGTCAATGGTGACCAAAACTAAAATATCTTTTATGTTCCGCAAAAGAACATGAATCATAAATGATGACAGATTTGTGGGTGAACTATCCCTTTAGTAGGTTTTTCTTAATACGGAAATGTCTTTTTTTGTGTGTTGTTTTAATGAAATGATACTCTAAATAAGAAACAAGAAAAAGAATAAATGTCATTCATTCAGCAGATTCATTCATGAATGAAGTAAACGGCTCTCCACTGAATAATTTGTTCACCCTATTAGTTGAAAACATGGATTCACTCAGTGATGAAATACTGCTGTGTGTTGTTCGGAAGACGCACAACAGTTCTGGCAAAACTCGTTGGTAAAACTGAGCAAAAACAGACAATATTATGTCTAAAATGTAACACAATATTAACTTCTTATTTATTGTACTGTTGTATAATTGAACTGGTGAGTTAAATGCGCTAATCGTTGTAACAAATTAATTGTATTAACGCATTAATTCGACAGTCCTAATTGTAAAACGTAAAATTCAGCATCATTACTCCAGTCTTCAGTGTCACATGATCCTTCAGAAATCACTCTAATATGATGATTTGATGCTCAAGAAACACTTCTGATTATTATCAATGTTGAAAACAGTTGTGCTGCTTTATATTTTTGTGAAAACAGATATTTTGATGCACGGAAAGCTCAAAAGAACAGCATTTATTTAAAATAAAAATCTATTGTAACATTTTAAAAAGAATTTACTGTCACTTTTGAACAATTTAATGCATACTTGCTGAATAAAACTACTAAAAAAATTACTGACACCAAATTTTGGATGGTAATGTTTGGATAAAATATGTGAGGAATCTGGTAATTTCCTTAAAGCTGCCGTCGGCAACATTTTTTTGATCATATTCAGTGAAATCGACACTATAATCTGACAGAACAACATAAATAAAGTGGTTTTAGAAAAAAAACCGAGCTTCTAACTCCACCTGGAGCGTGTTATTTGTTTTGCAAAAATCCACAGCTCCCGGTTCATCATGTCCAATCAGCGCAGGGGGGTGTGAGATCTGACTGTCAATCACAGATCGGGCACACGCCACCCCTCGCGCACGTTACAATCACATGCACACGCCTGAAGTTCGCGGAAGTTCGCGCAGTAACGAAGTGTGATGGCGGAAAATCAAGTAAGCTCATTTAGAGTATAAATGACGTTAGCAATTGCAATCTATCGGTAGATTAGCCAGGACAGCATACCTCCAAATACTCCATGGTGTTGATGGATGCTGATGAGACGGGCGCGTTCCAGGGCTCTCAAGTTTTGAAGACAGGTAAGAGTGACACCCAGCCGACGGGGGGTTGGTTACATTTTTGTCATTGGTTGTTGCGTTAAATCTTACCCAGATACAATAGTGCTATTTTCTGATTGGCTATGGTGTAGCTCGACGAACAACACCAGAGGAAACGCGTTTGATTCATGCCGGTTCCATAGTGAGAGCGGCGCGGCCAGAGTTTTGGGCGCTGCGGCATATTAAATATATTACAAATAGTTTTTCAGCGTGAGAAATACAATGTGTGGCGGGAGAGCGTGACAAAAGACAGAAATGAGTGACTGTCACGCTCAATGCGTGACACTTGAGAGCCCTGGCGTTCACTGAAAATCTGGTGCACACGCACTGGCGAGCATGAACTGGGTGGGAGGGTATCCGTTGATAGTGGGGGAGGGGCATGAGAGTTGTAAACATTCAAAATTTTCCTAAATCCACTCAATCTGCCAGACTTGCCGACTGCAGCTTTAACTTATGAAGAAGGTATAGGAAGTGATTGACTCTAACTGGGTGTTCAGCTTTAATTAAAGGAGTAGTTCACTTCAGAATTTAAATTTCCTGATGATTTACTCTCCTCCACGTCATCCAAGATGTTCATGTCTTTCTTTCTTCAGTCGAAAAGAAATTAATGTTTTTAAGGGAAAACATTCCAGGATTTTTCTCTATATAGTGACCTCAATGGGGTCCAACGGGTTGAAGGTCCAAATGTGAGTTTCAGTGCAGCTTCAAAGACTCGACACGATCCCAGCCGAGGAATAAGAGGCTTATCTAGACAAACCATCGCTCATTTTCTAAAAAAAACAAACATTTATATACTTTTTAACCAGAAATGCTGGTCTTGCACTAGCTCTGTGATGCGTCACACATTACGTAATCACATTGAAAGGTCAAGCGTGTTCTGGTTAAAAAAAACGTAGGGTAGGGCGAAAAACTCTAATTTTCTCCTCCAACTTAAAAATCATTCGACATCGTTGTTTTACTTTTTATTTTTATTTATTTTTTGTAAATGCCGCTTGACTTAGTCTATGCATGTTCGCTTTGTAAACACTAGGTCTGAACTTACACCTACGTCACGCTTGACCTTTCAACCTGAGTATGTAATATGTGACGCATCGCAGAGCTAGTGCAAGACCAGCATTTGTGGTTAAAAAGTATATAAATGTTTTTTTTTTTAGAAAATGGCCGATGGTTTGACTAGATAAGACTCTTATTCCTCGGCTGGGATCGTGTCGAGACTTTGAAGCTGCACTGAAACTCACATTTGGACCTTCAACCCGTTGGACCCCATTGAAGTCACTATACGGAGAAAAATCCTGGAAGGTTTTCCTCAAAAACATTAATTTCTTTTCGACTGAAGAAAGACAGACATGAACATCTTGGATGACGTGGGGGTGAGTACATTATCAAGAAATTGAATAATTCTGAAGTGAACTAATCCTTTAATAAGTTGAGGTGAGGCCGCAGATTTGAGCACAGCCAGCCTGTCCGTACCTTGACGGTCAAGTCTTCGTGTCCGAGGACGATCTGCACGTGCACCGGGGGATATTCCATGGCATCTTCATAAAGTTCAATGGTAGCGCGCATGGCATTCTGCAGGAGTCACACAACATATTTATAGCTCAGCACTGCTGCACATCTCAAGAGCAAAGCCATTCACACCACTGGCATACAGTAGTGCAGCACAACTGAACTCTTACACTTTACTCCGAACTTTAGGCAAAAATGCTCTACAGATGATTTAATACATCAACACTTCAGAGATGAAAAATTATGTACAGCACCTTACAGAGCTCAAACACCATGTGGTACAGATGAGACGGCACATACACCACAACAATGGGTTTATCCGGCCCTTTAACTGCAGAGGAAACACATGAGAAACAGCAGTCACACTTACGATCATCCGTGATGCATTTGCAGATCGTGAATTCAGTCACATGACTTCAAGTGAATGAATGTGTGTGCAGCAGAAAGTTACCATTAAATTCTTCCAGTACTACCTCAGGTGAGTTCATATAATACCGGTCACACAGGTTTCGGGCATTTTCACACGCATCTAAAAAAAAAAAAAAAAAAAAAAAAGGGAAAATGTTTAAATGTTGAATAGAAAAGTAGATTTGTACATATACTGAAGAAATATGGGTGGTGCTTGTCAATGCAATGTTTTGGGTGGTTGCTAGGGCATTTTGATCAAATTTCACCTCAGCATAATACAAAATGAACTAGATTTTCTTAATGAAGTCTACAATGTATATATATCTCATGTAATGCACACCTAGTCTTAAATTATCCAGATTATGCCATGGTATCTTGCCAAAACTGACAAGTTAAAGATCACATCTATTTGATTGAACAAGTCTAATTTAGGACTATTTCGGGGTTTTTTTGCGTTGATATTATTTTCATAACAATTAGGCAAATTTCAATTCTTTCAATGTTTCTCATGAGATTTGTATTAGTTGCTGTATAAAAATGATATTATCTAAATTGCATTAAGTAGTCATCCATCATGGTAGCATTTGCTGTACTCAATTTAATCCATGCTTATTTCAGTCATTACCCCACAAATACAATATTTGAACTATTGCTAAATGTTTATATGAAAGAAAAATCCCGGTCACCTTTGACCACATCAGTGACGAGACAGTTGGGGTCAATGCTGCCGATCTGTTTGGGATGAGCGGGATTGTCACGCACATTTCCCCCAAACAGAAGAGCTGAAAACACACAGACATCATCATGTTATTGACATATGGACATAAAAGGGTGGCGATCAATGAATGAGATTCAGAAATGTGGGGCACTGATGGCTGTGAAACTCGTAAACATGCCAGTCGGTGCTGCTAATCCAAACTACACTATGAGTGAACATTCCCGAAGCCCATTCAACTGAATTCACATTTCTGCTGTCCATAATGGGCCCTATTATAAACTACAGCACTAGAAGTGTGTGTGTGTGTGTCTCACTGTGCTGGTTCAGGAGCATTCTGATTGAAATCCTGCTCATGTAGAAGCGGTCCAGGAAGTACTGCATGTTCTGGCTGGTGATTGGGTCGGTGCCGTAGGTCTCCTTGTACTCCACCACTCCTTGAGCCATGGTGGGAACTACATCATTGTGGCGGTTTCTGATCTTAATCACAGCATCTGTGAAGCTAAAACAACAGAGGTGTGTGTGTACGTGTGTAAAAGTGTGTGTATTTGTTAGCACAAGCAGAGCTGGAAGGTAGAGGTCTTCACGGGTCCACTTGGACCTGGACGGGTCCAAAACTTTTGTATAAAAAAAGTCATTTTAAATAAATGTATTGGGTGAAGTTCCCCCTTTGGGAATAAATAATGTTTATACTCTAATATAAATGTGATTTATTGACAAATTCTTTAAAGTCTCCCTGTAGTCAACCATTTTATCCCAAAATGATCACCAAAATTACATATTTAAGCGTTTTTTGTTTCCTTTAAAACATGTCTTCATGCCTTAAAATAGCTTGAATGTAACTCTACACCCATGCGTCATTTAGTATGCGGTTCTATGAATATGTAAATGAGCCCCGCCTTCACTCACTCGCTCCAGCTCAGAGATCCACTCGTTGACGATCACACGTTGACCTGATTGGTTACAAGGTAGTGTGTGACGTCAGAAACACCAGCGATTTCACACCGTGTTTTTGAGGCTGTCTTTGGTTCACGGCAGTTTTAAGGAGAAAATACTCAGCAATGCTGTCGACTTATGAATTTACACATGGTTTGTCTTAAAGCATATTAAAAACACCACATAGACATATATACAACATTAAAAGCTGGATTTTCACCACAAGGGGACTTTAGTTTAAAATATGCCAACCTTTTGTTTTTATTTTTGGGTCGGGTCAAACTCTGGCATAACTTTATGCGGTCTGTCTCTTTTTAAATTCCATTATGCACGTCGGGTTTGCGTGTGAAATGATTGGGGTCAGGTACAGATCTTAGGACCAGAGAAGACCTCTACTGCAGGGTATTTGATGGATCTCTTACTCATGTGTGACCACTTGATCATCCATATTCCTGTCCTTGAACTCAAGTATATCCTGGAAACTTTGCATGTACCTGCAGAGATGCAACACAACCAAAAAAAAATGTAGCTCAGATATGGAAACATATCCCAATAATAGCACTACACGCATGCATTCCCACTGACCAGCTCTGCACCAGGTGCACTGAAGGAGTCCTCAGTAGGTTATCAGGCAATAAATCGATTTCCTTCAAAATATTTGCCAGCCTGACAGGCAGCTCCTGCCTTAGAAACGTGAATGACGTTTTCTCACACGCGTTCTCTGAACCTGAAGAGGAAAATGTGTACAGAAAGACTATGAGAACATCATCATCATTTGGTGATTTCAACATTTAATTGATAAAGTTGGGACTGAGTACAGGATTCCCAGAGTTATGAGCGCTTGGGGGTCCAATAAACTGCACAAGGGGCCCAGAAAACCTCTGCCTAGTGCAATGTTAACACCATGATATAAAGCTATATAGATATGCTAATCAAACAATAACATAGTATATGTAAAATTACTGTTATTTATATCAAATTCCATCGTCACATGATACTAACATTCTATTCTAATCTACTTAAAATTACAAAAATAGAAAAGGGATTCAAACTTTTTTTTCCCTCTCGATTCTACTCCACTTGAGGATTGGATCATGTTAGATACTGTTCTGTTCTGTTCACATATTACATTGTATCCACTTGATTCCAGACTTACCAAAATCTATGAACTGTTTCATAGAGAGAGGAGAAGGCGAGAATCTGGAGTAAAAGTCGATTTGCTTGGAAATAGATGCAGCCTTCATCAAGGTCCTGAAGATTCTCATATTGACGTATTTTGTTGTTAGCTTCAGTTCTTCAGAAAATCTAGAAAAATATGTCCTGTTGGCTTTCTGAACTCATAGTTTCTTGTCCAAAATATAGTCAGCAGAAGACTGTGTACTTGTTCCTCGTGGTGTAAAGTTGAATGTCAGTCATGTTCGCACATGCATCGTCAGTTCACTCATTCACACTCAGTGATCCGGGTTTATCCAGGGCTGTCTGGAAAATGCACTTCCACTCTGTAGAAAATGCAGTCCTGTATTACCCAGCAATGGCATTGCACACATAGCCTATGATATGGCCCTACACATGTAGGTAATCCCGGAGTAATGCTTGACGTGTGTTAAGACAGATAAGCACTCCTCCAGCACAATGTGTGTGTGTGTGTGTGTGTGTGTGTGTGTGTGTGTGTGTGTGTGTGTGTGTGTGTGTGTGAGAGAGCTCATATACGCAGGAGCAGCGTACACTGGGCCTCTGACCGCATTAATAGCCCAAGACACATGCTAAACAACACCGGCTGAACTCCTAGGACAACAAACCCTGAAAAAAGCCGTAATCTCTGACCTGTTTTCTTGATTGTCTATTTGTTTTGCCAGGTTGCTGTAAACACGTTGACTCGCGTTAATGCTGCACTGACATAGATGTTTCATTAACGCATAGAGCGTCCACTCTGTTTACTTCCGCATTGTGGGAGTCGTTGAATCACGTGACTGTCTGCGGCGTTCCCTTATTAGATAGCACACGTACGTCTGCAAAATGTCTGTTAAGATCACTTCATCTGGAAAGCATCTGCTGTTTACTAACATCTGATAGACGTCTTTAAGATGCCAGTTTTACATACATTCTAAATCATAAATTTAGATATAGATAGATATACTGGAAATCACAACTCAAGAGGTCCATCAAGCAATTTCTCAGTTATCTGATAATAAAGCAAGTGGCTCAGATCAAATTATAGCAGAGCATCTAAAGTATGCAAGCCCAAAGGTTGCAGCCCTTCTTGCCTTTTGCTTTAATGGCTTTATGACCCATGGAATGTTACCAGACTCGATGTTAACCGTTACTCTTGTGCCTGTCATTAAAGACAAGACTGGCAAGGTTGGAAGTGTGGAGAACTATAGGCCAATCGCACTAGCTAGTGTTATATCTAAAGTTTTAGAGAGGATTTTATTAGATCGCCTGAGTGAGTATATTGATACCACAGACAACCAGTTTGGCTTTAAGGCTAAACATGGTACTGATTTGTGTATCTATGCCTTGAAAGAAGTAGTTGAAGTGTATAGGAGGCAAAACTCCTCAGTTTTAATTGGCTTTATAGATGCCTCTAAAGCTTTTGACCGAGTCAATCACCGGAAGTTGTTTCTGAAACTGAAACTAAGGGGCGTGCCAGACAGCATGATAAGAATCCTGGCATATTGGTATGCCAACCAGAGTATGCAGGTCAGATGGGGTAATAGAGTCTCCGCTCCGTTTAGTGTTGGTAACGGAGTACGACAAGGGGGGTTACTCTCCCCAGCCCTTTTTAACCGGTATATGAATGACTTATCAGAACAACTAAGAGGCAGCAAAACTGGTTGTATGATTGGTACCGCTCTAATAAATCATTTTATGTATGCCGATGATCTGGCTATTGTTTCACCTAGCAGTGCTGGTTTTCAACAGTTACTAAATATATGTTCTGAGTATGGGCTCAAATATGATGTGCAGTATAATGCTAAGAAGAGTGTTGTCATGATATGCAGAGCAAAAGGGGATAAAGACCTCAACTTTCCAGTGTTTTATCTGTCAGGTAAAGTGCTAAGTACTTGTAATAAAACAAAATACCTGGGGCACTTCCTCATAGGGGTGGTGAAAAAAATCGATTATTGATTAATCGCGATTATGTTATGGACGAGTATGAATCGATTATTACATTTTCAAAAATCGATTTTTTATTATATATATATATAAAAAAAAATTGCATTATTTTATTTTGTAAAAAATGTTATACCGGAAGTTGAACGTCACGAACGCGCCCAGTTCCGCAAGCGCGTGTAACGGCAGCCAGAGCGAGTGAGAGCAGGTGTGCCGGAGACACACTGGCTGCGTGGCTGCGTGGCGGCGTCTCAGCTGCGTGGCGGCGTCTCAGCTGCGTGGCGGCGTCTCAGCTGCGTGGTGTGTCCGTTTTTATTTCGGCTCCCATGTTAACAGGTTAGAGCTTGCACACTGCCTGCATGAGCCGCGCGGAAAACGCGTGCATGCTAGAAATAGAACCGACGCCTATTTTTCACGCGACACGCAAGCGTGTTGGAAGCGTTTCCAGGCAAAATAGAATAGGAAACGATGTTTATATGTCATTTTGTACACGAATACATATTAATAAATTACATTTTGATGTTTGAAAGTCTAGGTTTTGATATAAATTCAGATATCAATGTAATTTAAACAAATAATAATAATAATAATAATTTTCGATTTTCAAATATTGCCATTATTTTTGCCTATATACAAATTTATGTCATTTTTATTTTTTAAACAATCGAGTCCTGGTGTTCACTACAGAGGTCATAGCATAACATATGAATAAAATATCTCTTTTTTTTTTCATTTGTTTCTTATGCTCTTAACAATGTGATTACATGAAGAAGAAAAAAAACTTTTGAAAAAAACGTTCTGGGCCTCAGGAGGATATAAAGATAATAGGCTACAATAACAACATAGTGTGTCTTCTGAGTGACGGTCCACCATCAGGCTAAATATAGGCTCTTTAAAGCTACACAAAATTTGTAAATGTTATTGAAATAAACCGACAGCCCACTTCCCTATTTTTCGGATTTTGGAAGATGTGTGATAACAGTTGAAATTGTTGTCGTAAAGGCAAGAGGCAAGAGTTGAAATTGTTGTAGTAAGGATTAACACACCGCTAACCCAAATGTAGACTGTCCCTCTATGTCACCTAGCAGCAGACACGTTTCTGGTGTGCAAAGACACAGAAAACGCGACGCAGCTGACACGCAACAGAAACGCCACGCTCACGCCACGCAGCCAGTGTGTCTCCGGCCTAACGAGCGTTGCTTGCTACAACACCTTGTCTTTCTAGAAGAAAATTGTCCAATTTCTACAGTATGTTGGTTCTGATCTACTTCCTAAAGGAAATAAGCCTTTCATTTATTTGTTATTGTTTAGTTCAACTTGATGAGTCACAACACAATGTGATGTATTAATTTCTGTGTTCTACAGAACATAAGCTACATACAAATAATTCTGAAGTTATAACTACACGACACAGAAAGTGCTTTGAGTTGTTGTTACTCAATAAAAGAGTTAAGTAATTCAGCAGCTGACTTTTTTTAATACTGCAAACACTTTGTAGTGTATTTTCGTTTACTGTTGTGAAATGGAAAATCAATAATCGCTAATCGCTAATCGAGAATCGTTAATAATCGAAAATCGACTGTAATCGAATCGGGACTTCAATAATCGTAATCGAATCGAATCGGGAAATCAGACCGATTAACCACCCCTACTTCCTCACAGATCAATTGTCTGATGATGATGACATATATAGGCAGTGTCGGATGCTGTATGCTCAAGCTAATATGTTAGCAAGAAAATTTTATATGTGTTCAGACCATGTTAAGATAAGGCTCTTTAAAGCCTATTGTACTCCACTCTACACTGCCCCATTGTGGGCCAAGTTCAAAAAGACAACCATACATAAGCTTCAGGTGGCCTATAATGACTGTATGCGGATATTGCTTAAGAAACCTAGGTGGTGCAGTGCAAGCGACTTGTTTTGTAAGGCAACAGTCAACACTCTCCATGCGTTGTTGAGAAATCTGATGTACAAATTTATTGGTCGACTGGATGGCTCTCAGAATGGCATTATTAAGCAACTGACAAATCCTAGTAAAAGTGTTGTGCGATACCAGTCACCTCTGTGGAATCACTGGTATAATTGTCTTTTATAATGTTTTGTTTTATGTTTTTATGTTTTGAGGTGTTGGGTGTCTGTAATGTTGTGTGGTTTTTCTAATGGACCCTGAGTCTGACAATAAAAGTTGAATAGAATAGATAGATAAACATCTTAAAGACATTCTAAAAGTTTTGAAATCTGCCAGGAAACGGCCTAGATGTATTGCAGATGAGCAAACAAACATTAAAAAAAAAATCGTCTTTCAAATGTAAACACGCACATCAAATAGACGTCTCCGTGGTGTACGTGTATCAGGGACGTAAATGCTGACTAAATGTTTTCAAATAATTACATTAATAATTACGAGTTTATTTATTTGCATGCGATGCGTGGGGCAACATAATGTAGCATAATGATGTCTAAGGGTAAGTTTACACGACAATGATGTACTAAAATGTCAAAATGATCCTTGTTCCCACGGATCCTTGAAAACGCTGTATAGGTATTCTGCTGTCAGGCCAGTTGGCGATGTTACTTTGTAAAAAAAACACACAAAAAAAAAAACACGATAGACTGAACATGTCACTGTTTTCACAAATTCAAGTTTTTGTCGTTTACAAATAGACGATTATCGTAGCCTATCGTTTTCAAAAGCTTGCATTTTGAAACCTGTTTTCAAAAGTTTGTGTTTTCAGGCCCCCAAAACGATGTTGTCGTGTAAATGAATGGCCGGAACGCATAAAAAGTTCAGTTTTTTGTTGAAAAAGGTGTCGTGTAAACTCTCTCTAAGATGCATGTGCCCAGTTCAGTTGAATGATAACATTTACCATAACGGTGATGAGTGTATGAAGCAAATTGTTTGTTGAAATAACATTAACATCAACAATCTGTCAATCAGAATGTGCGAAAGTTGTGTGTTTTTTTCCGCGTTTACAAGAATTTATTATTAATATTATTATTTTTAGGTTTATCAACAAAAGTACAAATGTATAGAATTACTGTCACAGACATTCAGTTATTTTTGTCCTAGTTTAATTTTCATTAACTTTTAGTTTTCATTAGTTTCCCGATTTCCTTTGAACAGTAATTCCCGCCACTTATAAGTTGTCATGGAGATTATGAATGATCACAGGTGTTGGTCATTATTACCCTCATTTGCCTTGAATTTTAGTTGCAGTCTTTTCAATTGTCCTTTGTCCGGTCTCGTTTGTGTTAAGGTTGTGTTTACTTTGATTAACTGTCTTGGATTTGTCTTTGGAGTGTTTGCCTGAATCTTCCTCTCCGTGTGCTTTACCACAGCCGTTGCTGACAGAAGACCGGACCACAAATGGATATTGCAGCACAGTTTGCTGCTTTGGCCCTAAGTGGCCATAATTTAATGGAGTTTACGCTGCAGTTCTGCCTTCTCGCCGTTTGACAATGACAAAATTTGCATTTAGGAGATATAAGCATTCAAAACTTACAGTCTCTCACTTCCTCTATAATGGATCAGGGATTTTTATGACATCACGTGGACTTTAACTTCTCATCACATCTTCTGACCAATCAAATGCTCTCTAGAATCTAAAGCTGCGCCCCCTATGATATAAACTGGCCAAAGCAACCGGTGTTGACATGTCACAGAGCAATATGGGTTCGAGATGTGTGTTCGTTTGCTCAAACGCTCAAGTTTTATTCTGTTTTCCAACTGTACGTGGGTGAAGAATGAAATGGGTAGAATCTACTATTGAATCCAACATATCATCCGTGCTCGGATTTGCTTCAATCGTGCGGTCAAGTACGACTTGCAGTCTGTGAGGTAAACTAAACGCTATTGGCTATTTGAAAAGGGGGAGGAGCCATTCAATATGTCCCGCCTTAGCTTCCTGTTTCAGTGGGAATTACGTCAACGCATCATACAAAGCTGTGCGCTTCAGTGGGCCTTTAATGGACAGTTTATAGGAGTGTGGAGAGATGGCTTCCTTGTGGCCCATGATCTTACCAGAATGTGTATCGTCTTCTTCAGTCCTGCTATCCCTGCCAAGCCGCACTCTTCCACCAACTCTTCAGACTGCTATTAAAAATGCTTTGTTTTTTGTTGGGTTTTGTGCTGTTCTTCATTCTCATCCTCAGTCCTCCTCAGCCACTCCTGCCACCCAGTCGTCATCTTTCCCATCGGTCCCTCAGTGTCACCTCTACCTCCTCCCAGTGGCGTGGTTACACCTCGGACCCGCTGGGAGCCAGTTCCTCCGGATCCGCCTCCAGCCCCGGAGAGCTCTGTCCCACCTTGACCCGTCGTCCTTAATCCTTACTCCTGCTCCTGTGCTCCTTCCTCCCTCGACTCCAGTGGGGACAATCAGCCATTCGGCCTTGCTGGGCTCCCTCGGACCATCAGCTCCACCTGATGCACCCCCACCCGTCCGCCCTCCACCCCTTCGGCTCCTGCAAGCTCCAGCCTCCCACAGGCTCCACCCCTGCCCTTGATCACACCAGCTCGTCCTCATTCGACACTGATCATTTTCTTGAAGATATTTGTTTTGGCCTGAAAGGAGTTGGGATTCTTTTGATTTTATTTGATCAAATATGGCGTAAAAATCATCATTTTAATATGATGATTTGAAGAAACAGTGTAATCTCTTTCCTTCATCACATGCCATTAATGTTGTATTTGTGCTGATTCCTGCTGTCTTGTTACAGGGGAAGTGTGTCATTTCTGCAGCACCACTGGCAACAAACGAAATTACAATCTTTTTATTTTATTTTGAGGAGCCAGACAGGGTCAAATATAACATGTTGGGGTTTTGAGATAGGGGTGGGATTATCTGTTTGTCCTAACAATGGCAGACAGGTGGTGTATTGAAAAACATTTCCACGTCTGGTGACGTGGAAATCACACACTTCAGCTTTAAACCCTTTGACGCACATCTCTTCCCCCGTCTGCTTTAAAGTGTCCTCTGTTGTGTCCAGTGATCGGGGACAGTCTGATGGTTTCTCCAGCCATTCCCCAGTGGTCGTCGCTGAGGCTCCATCGCGGCCGCCAAGGTCGTTGGCGTCCCATCACTCTCTCTGCTTTCTGTCTGCATTTAGGGCTCCACTTCCATTGGATTCAAGTCAGCCAAGTCACCATCACGACTTGATGATGGTGGCTCCTCACTCCGTCGTGGACCGCCATCCCGGCTGAGCTCTGGGTCAACACCACCTGGCCACTCCTTCATCATCTCCACCATGGCTGCTACTACCTCCATCTTCTCCTCCTTGGTTTCTGCTGCCTGCTCACACCAGTCCTTCGCCAACTCCTCCAAAAGCCACCTCCCTCATCGGTTTGTTTTTTGTTACGGCACAAGGTCGCACCTTCTGGGAGGGGGCGTTATGTCACAGACATTCAGTTACTTGAACAACATGAAGAATTTTCATTTTTGGGTGAACTATCCCTTTTATTCACACCATTACATTCTGTTTTTTTAATGCTACAGATATTTTGGAATGAATGATTTCTGTTTATAATTGTCATGCACTATGACCGTCCCTCAGTGAACTTGTTTTACCTACATACACCGTGAGGTCCTAATGTCCTCACAAAGTTAGTAAAATCGGACATTTTTGACATTGCTGGGACATTCGGTGGAGCCCCACGAGAAAAACAGCTCATAAATCATACTAAATGATGTGTTTTTCTATCTTTCTTTGTTTCTTGTAAATGTAAAAATGCAGAATGTCTTCTGCGAGGGTGTTTAAGGGTTAAGGTTAGTTTTTGCACACGTTTCTTAAACAGAACCAGGAAACCGTTTCAGCTGTTCAGAGAAAATGAAACTTACTAAGCTGTTATCTTTCACTGTCTGTGTGTAAATGCAGTGAAATGGCAGAAGCCAGTTTTTCTCAGGAGCAGTTCAGCTGTCCAGTGTGTCTGGATCTACTGAATGATCCGGTGGCCATTCCCTGTGGACACAGTTACTGTAAGATCTGTATTACATGCTGTTGGGATCAGGAGGATGAGAAGGGAGTCTACAGCTGTCCTCAATGCAGACAGACCTTCACTTCAAGACCTGCGTTAAATAAAAACACCATGCTGGCTGAAGTGGTGGAGCAACTGAAGAAGACGAAACTCCAAGCTGCTGTTTCTGCTCGACCCAAAGATGTGGAGTCTGACATCTGTACTGGAAAAAAAAGCAAGAAGAAAGGAAAGAAAACGCCAGGAAAAAAACATCTGGTGTGTCTTAACTCTTACTGTCAAAAATCGATCTTTGCTTCATGACCCTCTCACACTTTATAGGTTGCAAACCACATTCACATAAAATCAAATGAATTTATGTATCCAATATTGGATGTAGTCATTTATACACATGCTACTCTGACAATTGCAGTTTTACTTGTTTTTGTATCCAGACGATTTTAAAAGAGCGACAGAGTGAGTTCCAGCAGAGAATCCAGCAGAGAGAGAAAGATCTCGAGGAGTTGAGAGGGGCTATGGAGTCTCATAAGGTGAGTTTAGAGAACAGTTCAGCCTATTGTGATACACAGGCCGTGTATGCGGGAACAGAAAGAGCTGATTGTGATGGGTGAACGTGATTTCACCAAGTACCACATGTTCCTGGATCAACATCTTACTTTCGAATCAACTAATCAGATTTGAGGGACAAGTTTACAGTTTATGTCAAGTTTAGGCTTAGAACCAGGGTGAAGTACTTAAACATCAGTGTTATTCACCTTTCATTACCCTCTGATTTTAGGGAAAAGTTATGGGTAGGGTTAGGTTTGGGGGTAGGGACTGGGTAAGGACTACATTTAGGGACAGGAATGTTGATCCAGGATCAACAAAATATGTTGATCCAGGACCATGTCTTACTTGGCAAAATCATGGTGACCGATTGGGATGTGTGTCGTGTGTCCTATACAGCGCTCTGCAGAGACAGCGGTGGGGGACAGCGTGAGGATCTTCCTTGAGCTGTTCGGCAACATTGACATAATCTGCTCTAAGGTGGTGCAGCGGATCAGAGATCAGGAAAAGGCCGCAGTGAGTCGAGCTGAAGGATTCGTGGAGCAACTGGAGCAGGAGATTGATGATCTCAGGAGGAGAGATGCTGAGCTGGGGCTGCTTTCTCGCACACATAGTTTCCGCAAGGTAGCAGAGATCTGGAATACAGGACAGTAGTTTTAGAAACACCTTCCCATTAGAGACTTTTTCATTTTAATTTCTATTTAATTGGTGGGGTTTGGTATACTCACACAGCTGAAAAACTGTTAAGTTTTAAACTTTAGTGCTTAACTAAACATCATGCACTGTTTGTGCTACAGACATATATGATGCATAAAATCATGTGGCTTTTTGAGAAAAGGTGACACTATTACTTTTCTTAACCATTAGGATTTTCACCTGATGGATGATAAAAAGCATAAAAAGTCCCAAAGACTTGAAAGAGGGGTGTAACATTTACATCGTATTCCATTTAAACTGATTGGATTTCTAAGATCTATGGAAATGACTAGAACAGAAGTGCTAGACTAGACCTGAAGAGCCCAGTAGAACACCATGAAAACGATACGAGACACAACTGTTGTAAATAAAGCATCTATAATATCAAACTGGTAGTTCAAGTATACACAAGTCACTCAAGATGATTTGAATCAACAAGCAGAGTAAATATCTGTTCATGAAGGTTTTTGTCTTTGTACCTGCCTGTAGAGTTTCCAGTCTCTCTCTGAACCTCCTGAATCTACAGATGTACCCCGGATCACTGTCAGCTCTCTCCTCGCTTTTGATGATGTGGGAAAGTCTGCCTTTCAACTGAAAGAAAAACTGCAGGATTTATGTAGAGAGGAGATAGACAAGATATCGGGCAGAGGTAAAGTAGCGGACATTTATTAACTCTTAGACATCATAAATATTAAGAACTTTTTAATGGGAGCTAAATTAACTATGTCTGTTTCGTTTTTTAGTAACATACATTGAAATCATTCCCACCAATGAACCCAAGATCAGGGAGGAGTTCCTGCAATGTAAGACACAATGAATACATTTACATTAAAATATTATTAAGTATGTGTATCAAGCCATTTGAATTACAAAGACAATTGGGATGTCCTCACAATACAGATATTTTTGTGATTTCAAATATTCTGAGGCACATTTGTGGTATTTCAGTCCAACAGTAATATGCCTTTTACTGTTTGTTTACTCTCCGCTTGTCTTTGCATTAGTGGTAGGGATTTCTCAGTGACTGTTTCCATCCAAAGTTGTGACTTTAGCTTATGGACAAAATTGGATGCATGCTTTGGCCTTTCTGCAAGTCCATCAGACCAAAGCACTAGAAGAGCTGCATGATGGTAGCCTAGAAATCTAGACGCACCCTAGCGGCAGCAAAAATTATTTTGCAGCTAAGTGTGGTCTAGCAACTCTCCATAGACTTTTAAGCTGGAAAAAACAAAAACTGGTCCGGCCAATCAGATCGTGTAGAGTTGGTGGGCGGGCTTAACATAATGACGGCAGAGTTGTGACGGTTCCGCGTGATTTCCATAGGGGATTTCCCTCTGCTTGAAAACAAAGAAGATGCTGCTGGTGAACAGCAGTTTTTCGAATCGGCTTTGCCCGCGACTCTGGATGACTTGGAGTTAAGAGAACGTCACTTAAGTCATTCCTAAAAAAGGAAGATGTGTTCAGAGTTTTGACGACCGGATACGGCAAAAGTTTAATATACCAACTAGCTGGTTCACTGGTGGAAAAACGCATGGGACTCACTCAGCCACAGCCGTTCGTTGCTCTGGTTGGTTGTAGCGCTATCATATTGCGTGCCGAGGGATATTGAAAGACAACCATTTATCCCGCCCCTCGGATTGAGGTATGCCAATTGTGAGTTCCCAGACCTAACATCTTGATGTAGGTCTGGCTTGCCAGGCTAGCATGATGGTAGTTCTGAGCCGGTATTGATGCAGGAACTGCGCATTGTGACTGACCTCGCCCTCAGGGCGATAAAAAACACGGTGCGGACCCTCGGCCAGACAATGTCTACATTGGTGGTCCAGGAACGCCATCTCTGGCTGAATTGGGCTGAGATGAAGGAAGCCAACAGTGTTCGCTTTCTCAACGCCCCCATCTTCAAGGTTGGCCTCTTCGGCGACACTGTTGAGGACATTGGCCAGCAGTTCTCGGCAGTACAGAAGCAGACGGAGGCGATCAAGCACCAGACCAGACCGACCGCCGAGGGCTGCCCCTTCACCTGCCCATCACCAAAGGCGTGTAAATCTGCTCCGGTGCGGCCCAAGAAGAAATGCGACAGCCCATTTCAGCTACCGCTAAACCTTCTGAGAGGTCGTTATGCGATTCAGTTCTCCCGGCGTCCCCTCAGGTTCTGAGGCTTCATGTTTCTCAGTGGCAAACAAAGATGCCCCGGTCCTGCTGGCGAAGGACACGCTATAGCTGGTCCCTCCAGCTGAGATCAAGTCAGGGTTTTACAGACCGTACTTCATCCTCCCCAAGAAAGGCGGTGGGCAATCTGGGGCTTTGGGTCAACTGGGAAAAGAGCAAACTCTCCCCTGGGCAGAGTATCTCTTTTCTCTGTATCTCACGAACAAGCACGCTCAGACTGTGCTGACCTGCCTGAATTTATTCAAGAGCAGGACAGTGGTTCAACTGAAACAATTTCAGAGGCTCCTGGGGCATATGGCATCCGCATTGATGCATATGAGACCCCTTCAGCACTGGCTACACGGCAGAGTCCCGAGATAGGGTGACCATCGCACCGATCTGTCGCCGCACCTTCAGCACATGGTCGGACCTTGCCTTTCTGCGGGCCTTTCTAGTGCTTTATCTTGCTTTCGGAGGAGAATGCCTGCTGTTTTCAAACTTAGTTGTGTGAGACAGTTCTGGGAGGTAGTTATACCGAACCACTTTGACGACAGACTTTGGCTCAGGTGCTTTCAGATGCTGTGCAACGAGATCGGTCCGCTGATTGGTCCAGTTATGCCGTCCCATTCCGCAAAGTCACCTGTCTTTTTTGATGGACATCAAGGAACTTATTCAGTAAATGTGTTTCCATTGTAGTTTATTATGTGCATGTTTTCTTATCGGATAAAAAAATGATCAGCCTCAATTGAGCGCCTACGTTTTTAATGCATATTTTTTTAAATTTATGCGCATCTTGGCGTTTGCATCGAGCGTTTTTTTTATGTCATATCAGAAAATGTGCTTAAAAATAAGAGGGATGAAAACATAGCTATTGACACACCAAAATGGTGTGGATGAATAAATTATTTTGTGTTTTATCTCCATCAGATTCCAGTCAGTTCACTCTAGACCCAAACACAGCGAATAAACACCTCCAACTGTCCGAGGGGAACAGAGTCGTGACTTTCACTGCCAGTGTCCAGCAATATCCTGATCATCCAGACAGATTTCATTATTATCCTCAGGTGTTGTGCAGAGAGAGTGCGTGTGGACGCTGTTACTGGGAGCTTGAGTGGAGTGGGAGTGGATTTGTGGGTGTATCAGTGTCTTATATGTACATCAACAGGAAGGGACAGAGAGATGAGTGTGTGTTCGGATATAATGATCAGTCCTGGAGTTTGATCTGCTCTACCTCCAGATGCTCATTCATTCACAATGACAGTCATACTGAGCTCGTTGTACCCTTCAGCGGCTGTAGGATAGGAGTGTATGTGGATCACAGTGCAGGAACTCTGTCCTTCTACAGCGTCTCCCACACAATGACCCTCATCCACAGAGTCCAGACCACATTCACTCATCCGCTCTATCCTGGGTTTGGGGTTATAAATGGGACAGCAGTAAAACTGTGCGATCTAACACTATAGATTACAGAGAGCTGACTGTAAATATTACTGCAATGTGGCTTTGAGTTGCATGATAAATCGGGAACAGTGAGATATTATTATGGTGTTTAGTAAATTATCACGTCAAGTATTTCAACACGTAAAGTAACAAAGTAAAAATTTCTCATTAGAATAATGTTCTAAGAGCGGGTGCAAATTAATATGGACAAAATAAAGCAGAAACAACAAATAACAGAGTGATCAATAATAATGTAAGATAAATGTATTAAAGTTATTAATATTTTTTTGCCTATTTAAACTCATTTGGTCATTAGTCCTAAATAGGGGTGACCGGGACACAACCTAAAGCTGGGCTACACATGGTTTAAACGTATCCACATGCTAGCATGACGAAACTTAGTGTATTTATTTACTAGTTGTCAGCACTAAAGAAAAATCTTCAGAAATCTTCAGCAATTTCTTTACTACCAACTTACTGAAGTTAAGTCAAGTGTTATTTAAAACAAGACAATGTTTTATTTTAATCTCCGATCTGTTATTTAAAAGTTTAGATACTTCTTTAATGCTTAGCTAACTAGCAGAAGACACTAGCCAGGTTAAAATCCCTGTTACGCAGATGGAGCATGTAACACTGTGTAACAATGTGCCCCCTATTAAAACTATGCGGCTATGACGTTAGAGATAATTTACATTAATTGCTTTAATGAATTCTATTGAGAAACCATGAGAAACAGGTGAACAAATACTGAGAGTTCAATGTAAAGCAAATAAATGTAATTATTTGTGTCCTCTATTTGTGTCCTGCTCTGTGAGAGCCGTGTGTGGAGGGAGGGAGGAGAAAATACTCTGAACCCCAAGTGGATTTACACAAACTGAGAAAGTCGAAAAATTTGGTTGTGCACATTGGTTTGTGCACACCTCTGTACATCTACCAATCACTACAGCATTCTGTTAGATTTGTAAACACTTACATATAGATCAGGGATAGGAATGATACTGGAGTCCAACCCTAATCAAACACACACCTGCCTGTCATTTTTAAGCAACCCTGAAGACATAGGTTAGATTTTTCAGGTGTTATCTTTTCATATGTTTAATATTTGTTTGATTGCTATACATATAGCCAGGCCTATGTGTACATTTGTGTAGTTTAATATTTGTCCTGTTTTTAAGCATTTTGTATTTTCTTGTTCTTTGAAAAACAAAACAAAACAAACACACACATTAGGCTATCTTCTGCATCTCTATCTTCTGCTTCTTGCTGCAATGGCACAATAAAACGGTCAGGTGGAATGTATAGTAGCCTACTAGACTCTGTGTTCTTCCCTGCTGGACTCAAACCAGACATTTCAAGCACTAAGCCAATGGTTTCCAGTCCAGGGACCAGAGGCCTGATGTATAAACGTTGCAATGTCGCAATTTTCCACACACATATTGGGATTTATAAAAAAATAAATTGAAATGTAAAATTAAATAAAAGTATAAATATGTTCACACCTTTTGCAAACACTAAAGTACAAATAACCTACATGGTATGCCCCCAGAGGGTAGGCTAATAACTGTAAAATATAGCAATAAGTTAACAAAAAGCAATAACTGTGTCATGTTTGCTGGTTTCTTTTAATGGAGAATTTTAGCGTTTTGACATTCGGTTATTTTGATCCTCTCCGGCACCCGTCAGTCGCGCCTCCTCCACATCCGCGCACCCGGAAACTGATCAGTGCAACAAAAGCATCGCTTTCTGCAGGCAATAAACTCCATCAGGTCTGTTCACATTCACAACATGCTTTCAGATAAGAGAAAACATTTCAGTAGTATGTTTATAATACAAGTCAACTGTTTATCCTTCAGTATGTCACTTTTAATATGTTGGGTGTAGTCCAGCGCTAGGTTTTTACTGGGGCTGCTACTGTGAATCAGATGGCAGTAACACACATTAAAGTCCTGTTTTGTTTATATATATATATATATATATATATATATATATATATATATATATATATATATATATATATATATATATATATATATATATATATATATATATAATGCATGCTGTTAGTCTGTATGGCTGTTGTTTAACGTTAGTTGCTGTGAGAACAAGGCAGAAGTTAATCTCATTCGGATTACTGAAAGTAACGTTAGATAAATCCGCTTTAAAATGGATTACAGTAAATGTTTATGTGCTCTCAGAATCAGAGAAGTGTACACAGACTTGATATAGATGATTGGACTTTCAGTTTTGTAGTGCCTAAACAAACAATGATATTATTATCATTATCAATGCATATTAAGATCCCACGAGTTGCTGAATGATCGATCTGTGTCTCTGCTCTCTTTGCTATAACTCTGAAAATGCTGATAATGTTAGACTTGGACAGTTAATTATTATGCATTAATATAGTTAATGCATAAATGGAAATGCATTTTATTGTATAAACACATTCAAAGGCAGTGTCATTTAAAACATTAGATGTTTAAAATCCAAAAGGTGTTGTGAGATTCTGTCAGATGTAAGTGGAAAGATGTTCATAGTTAATGTGATGAACGTGTGTGAACTTGAGGATACATTATTAAATATATTCACTTAAATTCACAAAAACATCTGTTAAAGTCATTGCGCAAGAATGAAGAAGAACAATATAATTCTGAGAAAAGATCAGTATGTTTTGCCACCTTAGATCATACAGGAAGTTGGTTGAAAGAAGTGCGTTCTCTTATGCTGAAATTACAAAAAATAATGTTGTGTGACTCTATGCTTAAAGAGTTGAGCTTAACAGTGGTTTTATTGTGCTGTGAAACTCCTCCTAAGATCACGAGCTGTGGTGTGATGCTTCTGTATCAGGACTCATGCAGTCCTGGAGTCTCCAGTGGAAATTGTCCTGGTTACTGGAGTAAACTAGTCCGTTTCAAGTGCGTGTTTTAATGTGGTCATTCAGAGCGGTCTGTGGAGAGAGTCAGATCACAGACACACACACGACTCCTGTAAAGCTGTCTGAAGAGCCCGAGACGAGACTATGTGAAGGAAGGATGTCTCTTTCTTTCCCTCTGACAGCGCCTTATGTGTTTGCTGAGGATGTACATAGAAATAAGTCACACCCAAGCTTGTGTGTTACAGTAACCCAGCAGTCAATTTTTTAAAGCCTATTTGATACACTTTCTAAAGCCTCTACATTAACATATAGCCTAACGGCTAGTTGATGTCATGATAATTCATACTTTTTATGAAGTATAACCGCCTCGGGTTGTTGTACGCATGTCTTTTTGCTGTGAAATCTTTATTGATTTTATGAAGTAGACAAAAGAATAACATTTATGTTGTTAGTAATATTGAAGATGAACATTTGCTTGATTATCCATACAAAATTTCTTTACAATGTGCGAATCAAATATGATACATCAGGCTTTTGAGGATTTATTTGTTCATCTCTCAATCATCATTGTATTGCATTGCATTATATGTTTTGCCCTCACAATAAAAGCCACAGAGCTTTGATCATAACTAAGCATTGGAATATCATCTTGATCTTACTAAGACATTATTTTAATAGCAGATGTATTTATACATCGACTAGTCTTTATATAATATGCGTTTTATGTAAATAGCCTGCTTATAAAGATCTCATTGATTTGCATTACAATCAGAATTTCACTTGTTGGCTATATCAATATCAGTAACAGCAGAAAATTTCAATTTTTTGCTTGGTTTGTGCCTCTGAATAAAATCTAAGTGTTTTTTTCCTCTTCGAGAATGAGCTTCATATTCTCACTATATCAAACTATATTAGCCAAAAAAAACCTTATGTGATCAAATATGATACTCAACAAAAACACACATGCAAACTATTTTTTTTAATTATCTAAAGGTTAAATATAGCTACTAAAAAAAATCATTAAAAAAAAGGCTGAGATTGGCTCTTTTTCCTTATCTTTTTGACATTGTCTCTCTAAATAATTTTAGATGTAATAATTTTGAATGCACATTATTACAGAACAGAGAAATCTGCTTATAGTGTGCCTATTATAGTCGCAGCTCATATTTTATCTGTTAATATTTTATGCATTCATGAGCATTAGATATCTAATTGTTTGATCCACTACTTGTAGTCCCGAATTCCATGTTATTCCTTATGTGTTGTATGATAATGTCTATTTTTTTCCTTTTCTCACATTATTTTTACAGAAAAACCTTGTTTAACATGACATATATTCTGGCTTCCTGACATTAACTTTTCTTTGTGTGTGTGTGTGTGTGTTGTGAAGCATCATGTCAGATAAAAGTGAGCTGAAGGCTGAGCTTGAGCGAAAGAAACAACGCTTGGCTCAGATTAGAGAGGAGAAGAAGAGAAAGGAGGAGGAACGCAAGAAAAAAGAGGTACAGACTTTTTACTTGCATTAAAGGGATAGTTCACCCAACAATCATCATTTGCTCTCCCTCAAGTTGTTCAAAACCATTTCTCTCGTCTCTTGAACGTAAAAGAAGATATTTTGAAGAATGTCAGTAGCCAGACAGTTGGACCCCATTGACTTCCACAGTATGGAGAAAAAAACACTGCAAGTCAATGGGGTCCAACAACTGTCTGGTTACCGACATTCTTCAAAATATCTTCTTTTGTGTTCTGCAGAAGAAAGACATGTATTCAGGTTTGAAACAACTTGAGGGAGAGCAAATGATGACAGAATTTTGATTTTTGGGTGAATTATCCCTTTAATATACCAGAATAAGTTCCACTTTATGTACATTCATTCACACACAAGAATGCAGCTCAATGCTGCCCAACATGCCAGAGGTCTGTTGCTGTAAGACGTGTCTGTAAAACAGCTTGTCTTTAGTGTGCATAGTATGCTTTTATTAGTGTTGGGCAGTAACGCGTTACTGTAACGCAGTTACTTTTGGCAGTTACTTTTGACAGTAACTCATACTGTAACGCATTACTTTTTAAATAAATTAACTCCGTTACCGTTACCATATGGTGCGTTGTCCGTTACTTTTTTTAATTAATTAATTTTGGCTGAAGTGTAGCCTAGAGCCTGTTTACAGCAGCGACGCATTGTTGGTGGTAGGGTTGCCACTCGTCCCTTAAAATACGGAATTGTCCCGTATTTACAAGTAAAATGACGAGTCCGTATCAAATCAATAAGGGACGCGATTTGTCCCGTATTTTACATAAGGCCCACACATAGCCTAGTTGGATAAAAACATAGGCTTTACTATACTAATAGCAAATAGCCTATAAATAAATCAATTTCACAATAATGTTACATTATGATTAGAATCAAATGAATTTTGTCCATTTTCTAAGCTTAGAAAATGCACATTTATACGGGCTGAATTTTATAGGCCTAAAATAAATATTGTTTAGTAATTATGTGAATTGCAATGCGCAAACTACTAGGCTACCCACCGAATGAAGAAGGGTTGGCTCTCAGTCTCCACAGAACAAAATATTCATTTTATTTTATTTTTAGTGTTCGCATTTATGAGGAAAAAACAATGTTACGGACGCGACGCGCTCTGAAAGCGGCACTAAAAGATGCTTTAATACTTGCAGAGACATCAAACAGAAAGCACAAAACCTTTCTTTAAAGTGAATTTCGTTTTGTATTAATTGTATCTTAATTTTAATCAATGTTTCATCAACCAATTGCCTGGATTTAATAAATAAGAAGTAAATATAGCAGACGATAGATAATCACGAAATGGAGGCGCCGGCGCGTGAACTGGAGCTCGTCTCATAAATGAACCGAAACTCGGCGTATTAGGTCTGACAAAAAAAAAAATAGTGTTTAAAAATTACTTTCTGTTTAAGTCACTTTTGTGTTTGTATAGACCATAACGCATAAAAGGGCATTAATGGGAACATTAAAGAATGTTTTTTTTTTAAGTAACTAAAAAGTTACTTTTAACAGTAACGCATTACTTTTTGGTGTAAGTAATCAACAAAGTAATTGAGTTACTTTTTTAATGAAGTAACTAGTAACTGTAACTAGTTACTATTTCTTAGTAACTAGCACAACACTGGCTTTTATACCATACTGTGCATAACTGCGATAGAAACAATACTCGACATTTACACTGGTTAACATATGTCATAGTAATATAAAGCAATGTTGTTTAAGCGATGAATCCGCCACAATCTTCAGCACTATCTGCATATTTTCAGGCACATTACATGAGTAAAAAAAGGATGGTGTTAGTTTGCAGTTATTGATCAACTTAGATTTCCCATAAGAGAAAGAGAAATGTTTATCTTACTATAACTTTAACAGGGTTGAGCTTGATGAATGCAGGCAACACTACAATTTGTGTCAAAATTGAGTACATGCTGTAGGAGGGTTCCTGGCGGAAGAGTCAGATTGCTGGTTTTTTGTTCTTTGGGAACAATAGAAAGTTAGTTTTTGAAGGAAGTGTTTGATTGAGTCTGTTTGTGTCAGGCTGAGCTGAAGAAGGTGGCCGTCCCACAGCAGGATGACTCAGACCTGGAGAAGAAGCGCAGAGAGGCGGATGCTCTTCTGCAGAGTATGGGCATCACGTCAGACACACCTGCGGGTACGTGTGTGTGTGTGTGTGTGTGTGTGTGTCAGTTTCACACAGCATGTCCTTCAGATTCACCTGTCCTAAGATATCAAACTCTGAACGACGACTCCTGCCAATGTTCAATAATAATAACAACATATTTTTGGTATATTATTAGGCCACGATTTATCTTACAAGTGCAGTCACATTATCGGAAATTTGCCGGGCATTTTACGGGCAAAGCAAATCCATTATCAGTAGTTTAACAATGCATTAAGCAGCACTTACTCATAGGTGACTTCTAAAGTCGGACGCTTTATATTGTTCAGCGCAGCAAATTCATGCTTAAAGTTTAACAAACTTAAATCCATGTGTTTCGTCTTATGCATCCATCACGTGAAATTCCAGATTACATCGATTTTTTTTTTCAAATATGAAGTTTTAACAGTGACATGGTTTTAGTTTTTTTTACCCCTTACCCCAGTTTACCCCCCCCTCCCCCCCCCCCACCCCAAAAAATAAATAAATAAATAAAGACTAAATAAGTACATAAATAAAACTTAATAAGTTGCACAATATAAAATAATATTTCTAAAATCTGCATGGATAAAAGGAAAAATTAATATAAATAACACATGCACACATGTACTCTGATTTTATATCAGAAGTTCAAAAGTTGTAACTTTTCATATTTATTGCTCTGTTTAATCATGTTTTGTGAGGTGACCTTGAGTGTCCAGAAAGGCGCCTATATAAATAAAATGTATTATTATTATTATGCACAGATCAATAAAGGGTTGGGTCAAATAAATATATAGTTTAGACTTTATAGAAATAGTAGGTAGCAACACAGAGATATAGGACATATTTGAAAGTGTTCTTTCTCTTTTTGTTATACATTCTGAGTCAGAGAGATTTAAAGGGACCCCAATTTTGTCACATAGATTCCTATGAAGATGACTTCATTTCGGCCCGGAAATTACGCTGTACAAATTTAAATGTGACTGCATCCAAATACTCAAAATCTGTCTCTGCAAGACTATGTGCACTTCACAAGTTCCTATGAGTGTGCACTAGATGAAGAAACCCCTGTAGTGTGCTTCATAGATTGAACACAAGGGGGCAGAAGTGCACCACAGTAGTTTTGATGGTGTCTGCAATTTCATCAAGCACTCACATTTTCTGTATCTTTGTCATTTTAATTAAGAATATTGTTCAAATGGAATAGGAACTTTGACAATCTTGGTCAAATGTTTGATGCTCAGACTAATAATCATTTAACGGATATCTATATCCATTTTAAAATAATTCTGTTTCTAATTAGTTGATATTAATCCTTTTTTTAAATTATTGTAATTTTTTTTTGTGTGTGTGTAGTATTACATACATCCACTAAAAATCACCAAAACACCAGTTCATTAAAAGACATTGAGCAAAAATGTCTTTTAATGAACTGAATCTTCAATAATGCAGATGAAAGTATGTTGATCTCTTTTTCTCTTTCTTTAGTTCCTGCACCCGTATCTCCCACGGCCAAATCTGTGGGAACTCCAAGTGAGGCAGGGAGCCAAGACTCAGGAGAAGGAGTCACCGGACCAAGGTATTATCTCTCTCTCTATATATAATATATACACTCACCTAAAGGATTATTAGGAACACCTGTTCAATTTCTCATTAATGCAATTATCTAATCAACCAATCACATGGCAGTTGCTTCAATGCATTTAGGGGTGTGGTCCTGGTCAAGACAATCTCCTGAACTCCAAACTGAATGTCAGAATGGGAAAGAAAGGTGATTTAAGCAATTTTGAGCGTGGCATGGTTGTTGGTGCCAGACGGGCCGGTCTGAGTATTTCACAATCTGCTCAGTTACTGGGATTTTCACGCACAACCATTTCTAGGGTTTACAAAGAATGGTGTGAAAAGGGAAACACATCCAGTATGCGGCAGTCCTGTGGGCGAAAATGTCTTGTTGATGCTAGAGGTCAGAGGAGAATGGGCCGACTGATTCAAGCTGATAGAAGAGCAACTTTGACTGAAATAACCACTCGTTACAACCGAGGTATGCAGCAAAGCATTTGTGAAGCCACAACACGCACAACCTTGAGGCGGATGGGCTACAACAGCAGAAGACCCCACCGGGTACCACTCATCTCCACTACAAATAGGAAAAAGAGGCTACAATTTGCAAGAGCTCACCAAAATTGGACAGTTGAAGACTGGAAAAATGTTGCCTGGTCTGATGAGTCTCGATTTCTGTTGAGACATTCAGATGGTAGAGTCAGAATTTGGCGTAAACAGAATGAGAACATGGATCCATCAGGCCTTGTTACCACTGTGCAGGCTGGTGGTGGTGGTGTAATGGTGTGGGGGATGTTTTCTTGGCACACTTTAGACCCTTTGGTGCCAATTGGGCATCGTTTAAATGCCACGGCCTACCTGAGCATTATTTCTGACCATGTCCATCCCTTTATGGCCACCATGTACCCATCCTCTGATGGCTACTTCCACCATGTCACAAAGCTCGAATCATTTCAAATTGGTTTCTTGAACATGACAATGAGTTCACTGTACTAAAATGGCCCCCACAGTCACCAGATCTCAACCCAATAGAGCATCTTTGGGATGTGGTGGAACGGGAGCTTCGTGCCCTGGATGTGCATCCCACAAATCTCCATCAACTGCAAGATGCCATCCTATCAATATGGGCCAACATTTCTAAAGAATGCTTTCAGCACCTTGTTGAATCAATGCCACGTAGAATTAAGGCAGTTCTGAAGGCGAAAGGGGGTCAAACACAGTATTAGTGTGGTGTTCCTAATAATCCTTTAGGTGAGTGTATATGTATATGTCATGCATGTGGCAGCGGAGAGGTGTGTGGCTTTAACATTGCATGAAGGACGAAGCGTCAGGGAAAGGGTTGTTGTGTCTGTGCTGTGCAGGTCTGAGCAGGTTGGGAAAGCTTCTGCTGAATACATCTCTGTCATTAGCTGTTTTCAGCTTTAACTTCAAAGAGAATTCACTGCTGGAAAACCCCTGAGAAGAGCGAAGGAAAACATGAAACATCAGCTGTGTTCTGACTCCCATCTAGTCTGCGTTTGAGAGCATCATAGATGTGCTCTTAATGCAAAGGCTGATCCAAAATGATGATGATGCGGCCTTCTAAGCCATATTCTAAAGGATATTCTATCCCAGAATGCACTGCAAAAAGCTCCGATCAATGATAATAGTATGGAGGGCTGCAATGACAATGTGTTTTTAGGCCAATTTGAAAGTTTGGCTAAACGATTTTTACGGCTTTTGGATTATTGTAGGAAATGATCTCTATCGTGACCAACAAAATTTTATGATTTTTTTTTTTTTACATGTTTTGTTCATCACGATAATCCTCACAATTTTCTTTTATGAATTTTGAAACCTCAGAACAAACAGCAGAAGTAAAAAGCTAAACGTGCTATAAACGAACCACACTCATCACATGACTTCAATGCCTCTGCCATTAAGCTTCTGGCAAATCTTTCAGTCTTTATTGTTTAAAAACATTTTCCCTGAATGTTTGAGTTATAATAGTTTGCAAAAGCTCAATTATAGCTGTGGTAAGGCTGTGAAAGCGACTAGTTATTAGATGAGTTTATCTGTTCGGCTGATGACGTTTAATGTCCCCGACAAGCTCTCTAGTCCCTTTTAGACACCTTTGTTAGGAGTATTTAAAAATGATGTATTTCATGTCGTAGAATAAAACATGAAAATGTAAACCAAAAACCTGTTAAAAAAACTTGTTTCCGGGTTTTGACCTACAAAATATACATCATCCCTGCATCACCTTATATTTCCAATAGTAAAACCAGTTTTTTTGGGGGTTTTTTAACCCTTTGCCTATAATGTTGCTCAGCCTTACATTATATCTATTATCAGAACCAGATTCTAGTTTAGGGTTAAAAAAAAATCCAGTTGTAAAACAATATTGCCACTTTATTATTGATAGTCAAAATAGAGGGGAAACTGGAAAATATTACACAGTGGGGAAATGCGATCTCTATTCCCTGATGACACTGGCCAGAATCGAACACGCATTTCCCACAATGCTTTTCTGAGGCACATGAGCTAAGCACTAGGCAATGGCTCCAGCTAGTAAAACTATGAATATAGAAATGTTATAGATTTTTATGCTGGAATAAGACCTGTGGGAGCAGTGAAGAGCTGCCGTGGAGAGTGTTTAACCCCTGATTACAGCAGAAGCTCTCACACACACACACACACACACACACACACACACACACACACACACACACACACACACACACACACACACACACAGATGCCCCCGGGGCTCCGTGTCTACTCATATCCCGCACCACTTCACCACTTCCTACACACATGCAGGTCATGTTACCAACTGCACACACACATTCTCCCTCATCACAGTCATACTCCCACTTATGCACTCATGACCACACACAGCCTCAGGTTGTGCTTCCGCTGATGTGGGTCGGGTTAGTGTCAGGATCTGTGAAGATTTCATTGCCTTTTTAAAGTCAGCGTGAAATAAAAATGAACCCTATCTATTTTCTAAATGCATATTATAGCTATGCATTTATTGTGAACCATTCATTGATGCATATTTCTTTTTCTTTTCTTTTTTATATGCTTTGACCTCATAATGTTTAATGAAAATGCCATGACTGGACTTTATAGTAAAAACAACACACTTCTTTCTGGTGATGAATGCAGGATTTCTCCAATCATTAAGGCCCTGTTTACAGCTGGCATTAAGATGCGTTTTGGTCGATCGCATCACAAGTGGACGACACTAAATACAGGAGTGAACAGGGTCTAAAACATTTTAAAGGAGAACTCCGGCGCAAAATGAACCTTTGGTCTAATTACACATTGTTACCTAGTCAACCGTTATCTGAGATTTGTTTTCATGATTATCGAATGTAAATAGTTTTATCTCTAAAAACAGTTTAGCCTATAAAGCTAGTATAACGCTAGTATATTGGGCATAGAGAAATGACAAATAAAAATCGCTTGTTAATACCACTAACAAGGCTGAAAATAGACCCACACTAGCACGGTAGCATAATGAGGGTCCCTACCTTCAAACCGAAGCATTGAGAACTTTGTCAGTGTCCAGACAGTTTAATAAGAAGATATTTTAAACATACAGTCAACTTCGCGTATACAGGCAGAAGCCATCTTTGAAATACAGTCTCTACCAGTCGATCTACGAACGCCGATCCAAGTGCGCTGGTGAGATGTGAACGAGCTATAAGTTGTGATAAGGTGAGCGCGAACAGCAGGCTTGGATCGGCGTTCGTAGATCAACTGGTAGGTAGGGACCCTCATTATGCTACCGTGTTAGTGTGGGTCTATTTTCAGCCTTGTTAGTGGTATTAACAAGCGATTTTTATTTGTCATTTCTCTATGCCCAATATACTAGCGTTATACTAGCTTTATAGGCTAAACTGTTTTTAGAGATAAAACTATTTACGGGCTTTATCAGACGGGGTTTAAACTTTGTCGGCTGAAGTCCCAAGTTTGGTTTGAAGATGAAAAATGTACCAAGCACAATGTTCTCTCACCATTCCTGATTTCTAACACACACTCACAGCGTTCGGCTGGTCTTGCGTCTATCAGAGCAGAAACTAAAACTGATGATCTCCGTGTGTTTTTCTGTCGTCTCTGGTTGTGTTCATATGTAAATTGCGTGAGCTTATTTCATCATATATAAATATGTGCTGTGTTCTTTGTTCTCAATAACAAACTAAACGCACAACAAAATTACAGTGGTGAGAAAACAGCAGTTAAAGGTGAACTAAGTAACTTTTTTACCTTAACCGAACAGCTTTGGAGTCATTGTAATGTTTATATTACTGATTTCGTGTTGAATGGTGGTCGTCTCGCACCCCCCTGGTGCCTGTGAGCCGCAAAACCACCCTTGCAACTTTGGGCCGGCGGGCCGTGTATCGTGTGATATCAGGTCGCGCGAGGTAACGAATTGCTTTACGGCAAAAAACAGATCTGATAAAATTCTGATAAAATGAGCATCAAACAGAAATAACCCGGCGCCGTATACATGTGGTGTTCGAGGCGCACATACAATACAGACTGCCGACAGTTAAACAGGGCGCGCGCAGCTCTTAAAGGGACCATACCTTATTTCCACTCGTTACAGCGTCCATCCTACTGAAAAGGTACCGGTGTACAGGGGGAGGGGATCCGGCCGTGAGTGTGAGCCATCTCTGCGTGAGTGCTATCAGAGAAAGTCTAATATGGGGAGAACTCCCACTCACATAAAACTTCCGGGTTCTGAACTGTTGCAGTTCCACTCTGGGTCCATATGAGGGCGCTCACAGGCGGAGTGCAGAATGAATGGAGGTCTATGGAGCAATACCCCTAAAAATCCACTTTTCTCAGGATATAATTTTTTGTCTAGTAATTCGAATGTTGTATTCGAAAGAAGATGCAAAGAAATTACACATTGCTGGGTGTTAGATTTTTTAGAGTCACTTATTTGCTTTAAAAAGTCTTTTAAAATGTCAATGACGTCATACACATCGTACGACCAGAAACCTGCTTTACGGCAATCCTTCAGTCACTGGTGCTTTCGCGCATAGACAGACTAGAGAAGCCGCGAAATTTAAAAATACTACTGTTATTGTGTCACGAAATGTAGTTTTTATAGTTTTTCAGTCGACAATGTAGTTGTTGAAAGCTCAAATATGTGGTTTATTTATAAAGATTATTTAAAAATTTGATCTGACGTTTTCGGAGTTGTGATATCCAAGCCTTTACCGGGGTCTCAGCGCTCTGCACCCCGCCTGTAACAGCCTTTACTCGGTGCTTCTGACGTTTGTGGTCAAACATGACATATAATTCGTCTTGTGTATATCTAACGGGCGATCTTTGGTCTCATTAATCTTGTTCCCTGGCAAATCGTTTTGGCTGACGGCAAAGTGAAGTTTCATAACTTTATATTGTGGCTATTTTAACGTTGTATCCTGCTGTGTCTGAATCGTTTACTTTATTTATTGTCTTGTATAACTCTTCTTATACCTTTTAGGCTACTTATACTGTTATAATGTCTCTTACTGATCAATAAAACTGAAAAATAGACAGGGTTGTGTCATTTTATTTTATATAGCCTATATTTTATATAGCCTTTTCATTACTATTTTATTTGCTGTACTGTTTCTATCTTTATTTTATTGACTAAACTATTTAATATGACTTCTCACTTTATCTTATATTTACTATTTGCACTGCACTGTAGTCGTACCATATCGTATTACCATAGATAAAGGATCCATCAGTTATCTTTGTTATTGCTAAAATTGGGTCAATCACAGAAAATGCTTTTTCCACAATAAGAAAACTTTTGCGTTCTGCACTTTCTTTTCTCTCTAGGCATCTACTACACAACTGACACAGGTAAATACATATGTGGTCCCGCTTCGGATGCCACGATGCCATCAAGCGGTATCTCTGGTCGTAATCAGTCCTTCACTGACCAATCAGCGTCCATTAGCAGAATGCTAGCGTGTTATGGGCAAAAACAACTCAACCTGTAAGAAATCGAAAGGACATAAGTACTTGTTCATTCAACTTTCGACCTATAACCCATGTTGGACTTGCAAAACCTACATTCAAATCTAAGATTTCTCAATGACAATCAGGTGAAAAAGACAAATTTAGCCGTTTAGCCCCATAGACTCCCATTAATTTTGCACTCGGACTATTGCCTCTAGTGGAACTCTGGTGGAACTACAACCAAAAAGTCGGTACAATAGGACTTAATAGGGAGTGGCCAGGCTTTCCGTAGACGGGATTTGGTGCTATTCACGACAGTACAAGTACCCCACAACGACTCTAGGGGTCGCTGTTTGACAAAAACGGAATTCCTACTTAGTGCTGCTTTAAAGTCTTTTTTGGCTTTTAGTATGAATATGTGAGTCTTACTGTTATCTATAAGCTAGTGTGCTCCAAAACAATGACAAAATTTACATTTAGAAGATATAAGCGTTCAAAACTTAGTCTCTCTCCTCCGCCAATATGTATCAAAGATTTTGATGACATCACTCTGCACTTCAGCTTCTCATCAGATTTTCTGTCCAATCAAATGCTCTCTAGAATCTGAAGCTCCGCCCCCTACACTATAAATAGATGTTGTTCACACATTTGCTATGTTCTACATGGTGAATGGCACATAGTGCACTGTATAGGGGATAGGGAACGATTCAGACAGTGTAAATATGCTTCACATTGGAGCTTAAATGAAGTCTGGTTTCATATTAGTCGGTGCAGACCAGAAAACGTATCAGACACGTTTGAATTCTGCACCGAATGCTGTATTTTAAAGCTATATGGAGGAGATTAGGAGGAGAAACGGTTAGAGATTAGGAGGAAACTGTGGGTTTTACTGAGCTCAACGGCTCCGGCCGAGATGTGATATAAACTAAACACTATTGGCTATTTAAAAAAGGGGAGGAGCTGTTCGATATTTCCCGCCCCTTCTTCCTGTTTCAGTGGAAATTAAGTCACCACATTGAACAATGCTGCGCGTTTCTAGACACTTCAGTGGACCTTTAAGAAAGCATCTGATCATAGCGATGTGGAGATGTTTGCACCAGCTCTGCAATTCAGCAATCCAGTCACATCACGATTATTTAAACTATAGATTGGCTGGTAGCACTTTATTTTACAGTCCTGTTCCCCATGTACAAACTATGTACTACTTATAGTAATTGCAATAACTGGGTTATAACTAGGTACTAACTCTGAACCTACTCCTAAACCTAAACTTAACCCATGTAGTACCTTATATTACCAGTACTTTCTTAGGTAAGTACACTGTAAGTACACGTACTAAAAAATAAAGTGCAACTGATTGCTTTAAAGTGTCTCTTTCAATTGGAATAACAACCTCAATTCCTGCTATAAAGCGTCTGTGTTCATGTTTTTACTCACGTTTGACCTCGACGAACTGAACCGAAGAAATGAACCAGAGAAGATTTACACGTCAAAGAAGGCGGAGCCTCAGAGCCACACGCTACCGTGACGTCATCGCCACCGACTAACAGTGTTTATCGGCCGGAACAAACTTTTCTGTAAAGTTCACTTTGGCAAGCTGTTTCAAACTCCAGAAACGAACTCCAAAAAAAAGTAAGCTTTGGCCTGATTTTGTTCGAAATGACGTCACGCCAGTTCGTTTTCAGATTTCACTTGAAGTATATATGGGGCCTTAATGGAGTGGAGAAATCACTATGTCTTTTTCTATCAAAAATGGCCCAAAATAATCTCTAGATTCGCATCAGTCTGTTGTTCTTTTGAGAGATGAAGGCTATTTCATGCCCCACTGTCTTAATAGAAGAAAGCAAAGACTTTAGTGTCAGACCCTGCACTGGTGCTCAGCTAGAAGCTTCGTCGAACACAACACATTATACACCAGCTACATTTGCAGTGTATTTTGTATGTATTTTCATGAATAGCTATAGAATATTTGTATACGTTTTTTATTTTTTATCTTTCATCATAATGTAAACAGCTCTTGTGCTACTTTTCTTTTTGGCTTGTGTCACTCCCTCTTATTTCTAACTGCCAAATAGTGAGAATATCCTGTTTAACTCAGAGGGAAAAAGGTGGCAGATTTCATTGCATGTTGACTTTAAATGGACCATACTCACAGCTCCTGAAATGGTCTGAGTTTAGACAGGTCTCAGACCCCTAAAACTAACCAATTAGGTGACAGACAGCTTTTTGGCCGAACATTGCACCAATTTAGTGACCAGATAATATGCACTACTGTATCTGGTCACATGAAAACATGATTTTGATGGCATTTTTACTTAAAATTCACATATTTATAGCAAATCTATGATGTTGTCATTTAAGGTATATGGGATTTTCTCAAATGATTGTGATCATCAGGTGATAATGCAATAACTGATGTGTCTGGGACTGTGCTGGAGGAGTGTGGTTTGTCTCCTGGACATCAGAACAGATGATTTCCTTTAGAAACATAGCACTACATGGACATCTGGTTCTGTTTCTGTGTTTGTGGTGTGTGTGTGTGTGTGTATAGAAGCTTTTCTGCTTGTGTCTCTTCTTAACTGCTCTGAAGTGTCGTAACATTGTGTTTTTACAACCTCTCTCTGTCTCTGTCTCTGTCTGTAACCCTGTGACACTAACAGGACTCTGCACTGGGACTGCGACCCCTCTACTCTTCTGCTTCACTCTGAGCTGGGGTACTGCACACTTTCTGCTCTTTCTCCTTCACTCTTTCAAACCTGTAGAGGAGTCATGAGTGGCATATGATCATGAGCAGGGATTAACACTGTAGATCAACGGCATGTTGTGAATGCCAGACAGATGTGCATGTAAATGTAAGCAGACTTATAATGTGAGCACAGTGATTTCCAGAGGACATTTAGGGACTGTTTACACCTGTGTGAACATCTGGGAGTGATTCTGGGAGTTTGGTGCATGTTGACACTACATGTCAATAGTTTGGACAGACACACTTATTTAGCATTTATTCATTAACCCCCGGTTTCACAGACATGGGTTAAGCCTAGTCCCAGACTAAAATGCATGTTTGAGCTGTTAACTGAAAGCAACTTGCACTGATATCTTGAAATATGTGAGTTCCACTGTTTTGTCTCGAGATGAACACCAGTAATGTTTTTTCTAAGGTATGCTTATAAAAGCTACTTAAACGTCCGAATAAATCTAAGGCCTAATCCTGGCTTAATCTAAGCCCTGTCTGTGAAACCAGGCCTTAGAATAATAGTAAAGTCATCAAAATTATGAAATGACACAAGTGTGTGTATATATATATATATATATATATATTTGGTCTGGTCATATATATATTTGGTCATATATAATGACCAAAAATGTTAAACAAATCAAAACTATCTGTATTTAAAGCAAGCTTTTCCAACAGTATTGAAGGAGTTACCAAGTGCACTGTTGGCAACTTTTCCTTCACAACCCGGTCCAACTTTTCGATTAAAATTAATTAATTCATTTAAAAAAAAAAAATTATATGGTTTTTGCTTTTGTTTGAAATTAATTTATAGTCCGGTTATATTTATGTAATAAAGTAATTTTTAGGCATTTAACTAAAAGCCTTTTAAGATCATCATGAGTAACACATTTTAGTCAAGTGTGTCCACATTTTTGATATTTGTTTTCATGTCAGAATGTTACATTCATTTCTAGTCACCTATAAATGTGGTAGGGGTGATTAGATCACAAGGCTTTTCTTAGGCCCTGTTTACGCCTGGTATTAAGATGCGTTTTAGTCGATCACAAGTAGACGAGAGACATTCCCGTTCACACCTGGTGTTGTAATCCGTCTCTGTTGTCCACTTTCAACCTCTCCTGTCCTGATTTCTTCGAGGTGAGGGTCTATGTCATTTAAAAAAAAAAAAGTTTGATCTAATGGACAAAATAAGCTTGTGTAATTTACATATGAACGCACACAGAGACGATGGAAAAACATACGGAGAGCAATGCATCAGCTTTAGTTTCTGCTCTGATAGACACAAGACCAGCCGAACGCTGTGAGTGTGTGTTAGAAATCAGGAATGGTGAGAGAACATTGTGCTGGGTATGTTTTTCATCTTCAAACCAAACTTGGGTCTCCAGCCGACAAAGTTTAAACCCCGTCTGGCTAGAGCTCTTCTCATAATATCACTCATTAGGTCAGTAGACGGAGAGTAGACGGTGTTTTGTGGCTGTTTGAACACATTCAACCTCATGAGTGTTTACACTACGAAAGCAATCCGGTCTAATGTTTTCAACTACCCGGAAGTGGTCGAAAGTGGACAAGCTCACCGTTTACTCCTGTATTTAGTGTCGTCCACTTGTGATCCGATCGACTAAAACGCATCTTCATACCAGCTGTAAACCGGGCCTGAGACTCATTGGACCCGTTCACACCGGCACTGTGATTAGTGCTGTTCACTTATGATCAGATCAGCTGTGAGGGCTCTTACTAGGTGTAAATGAGGCTTTAAAGGATAAATGAGCTGAATTTAAAAAAAATATTGTATTGTTACAATGTCGGTAGTTGTAAAAATTAGGGCTGTCAAATGATTAATCGTGATTAATCACATCCAAAATAAAAGTTTTTTTTACATAATATATGTGGGTGCACTGTGTATAATTATTTTATATATATATAAATACACACACATGCTTGTATATATTTAAGAAATATTTTCATGTATATACTGTATATAGATTTATATATAATTTATATTATATATAAATATAAATATTTTATATATAAATAATATTTTTTTCTTAAATATACATGCATGTGTGTGTATTTATATATATATACAAAATAATTATACACAGTGCACCCACATATATTATGTAAAAAAACCTTTTATTTTGGATGTGATTAATCGTGATTAATCATTTGACAGCCCTAGTAAAAATACAACTGAAACTGGACTTTTATTAAAACTACAGAAGGGTGGCGCCAAAATCAAAAGTGCATTATGAGTGTTTTTGGCAAAAGGGAATAGGCATTTGTATCTGTTTTCTCTAGCAATGTAGCATCAAGTAAAAAAATAAATAAAAGCCTTTCTACTACATAGACAGCAGCATTTTATTAAAAGCCTGTGAGTTTTTATGTGTTTGAGCAGTGTGTGCACAGTTCCTCCGTATGATTTGTGTGTCTGTGTGTGTTTGTGCACTCTCGCAGACGTGGTCCTCTGAAGTTGGCAATGGCGAAGACGACCCACGTGGATTTCCCACCCAAAGAGGTGGTGTCCTACACCAAGGAGACGCAGACGCCCGCCACGACACAGCAGAAAGAGGGTAAGCTGTGGTCACGCACATCCAGGAGTTCTGACTAATACCATTCAAAACATTCTTTTTTTTATGTTATGGCCAGTAAACAAAGCAATTTCTGATATGTTATATCTGTTATATATTTAAAACACACACCCTAACATCCAGCAGACTGCAGATTTTTACATGCTTCAGGGGAATTCAGGGATCATGATATATCTGTGATCGGATCAGTAATGGCCAATGTTTTTATGTAACACTTTATTTTACAGTGTCCTTGCTGCTTGTTACATATACTTACCATAGTAATAACAGTAAATTATGCAAATTACATTACATTATATTATTATAAATTATGTAAATTATATTACATGAAACTAACCCCAAACCCAACCCTATATTAAGTACATGTAGTTAATTATTATTACTCGGTACTTAAATACTGTATATAATTGCACTGTAACAATGATGAGTAATTTAATAATCATTCTAATTCTGTGTGAATAGTGAAGTGTGAACTACAACTATAGCGATAGCGACACAGAGGAACAATTTAGTTGGAATCACTTTCAAAATTGTATTTTCCAGCTGATAAAAATATTGACAGCCGATCTGAATCCACCCAACTTTAAAGAGCTTGTGCATTTGAAACGGCAGACAACAAAACTATTCTACTCCGCTCTGATTGGTCAGATGACCCAGTCTGTTGTTATTGGTCTACTCCGCTCTGATTGGTCAGATGGCCCAGTCTGTTGTGATTGGTCTACTCCGCTCTTGATTGGTCAGATGACCCAGTCTGTTGTGATTGGTTCTCTCCGCTCTGATTGGTCAGATGACCCAGTCTGTTGTTATTGGTCTACTCCGCTCTGATTGGTCAGATGACCCAGTCTGTTGTGATTGGTCTACTCCGCTCTGATTGGTCAGATGACCCAGTCTGTTGTGATTGGTCCACTCCGCTCTGATTGGTCAGATGACCCAGTCTGTTGTGATTGGTCCACTCCGCTCTGATTGGTTAGATGACCCAGTCAGTTGTGATTGGTTCTCTCCGCTCTGATTGGTCAGATGACCCAGTCTGTTGTGATTGGTCCACTCCGCTCTGATTGGTCAGATGACCCAGTCTGTTGTTATTGGTCCACTCCGCTCTTGATTGGTCAGATGACCCAGTCTGTTGTGATTGGTTCTCTCCGCTCTGATTGGTCAGATGACCCAGTCTGTTGTTATTGGTCCACTCCGCTCTTGATTGGTCAGATGACCCAGTCTGTTGTTATTGGTCCACTCCGCTCTTGATTGGTCAGATGACCCAGTCTGTTGTGATTGGTTCTCTCCGCTCTGATTGGTCAGATGACCCAGTCTGTTGTGATTGGTCCACTCCGCTCTGATTGGTCAGATGACCCAGTCTGTTGTTATTGGTTCTCTCCGCTCTGATTGGTCAGATGACCCAGTCTGTTGTGATTGGTCCACTCCGCTCTGATTGGTCAGATGACCCAGTCTGTTGTGATTGGTCTACTCCGCTCTGATTGGTCAGATGACCCAGTCAGTTGTGATTGGTTCTCTCCGCTCTGATTGGTCAGATGACCCAGTCTGTTGTTATTGGTCCACTCCGCTCTTGATTGGTCAGATGACCCAGTCTGTTGTGATTGGTTCTCTCCGCTCTGATTGGTCAGATGACCCAGTCTGTTGTTATTGGTCTACTCTGCTCTGATTGGTCAGATGACCCAGTCTGTTGTTATTGGTCTACTCCGCTCTGATTGGTCAGATGACCCAGTCAGTTGTGATTGGTTCTCTCCGCTCTGATTGGTCAGATGACCCAGTCTGTTGTGATTGGTCCACTCCGCTCTGATTGGTCAGATGACCCAGTCTGTTGTGATTGGTCCACTCCGCTCTGATTGGTCAGATGACCCAGTCTGTTGTTATTGGTCTACTCCGCTCTGATTGGTCAGATGACCCAGTCAGTTGTGATTGGTCCACTCTGCTCTAATTGGTCAGATGACCCAGTCAGTTGTGATTGGTTCTCTCCGCTCTGATTGGTCAGATGACCCAGTCTGTTGTGATTGGTTCTCTCCGCTCTGATTGGTCAGATGACCCAGTGTGTTGTGATTGGTCCACTCCGCTCTGATTGGTCAGATGACCCAGTGTGTTGTTATTGGTCTACTCCGCTCTGATTGGTCAGATGACCCAGTCTGTTGTGATTGGTCCACTCCGCTCTGATTGGTCAGATGACCCAGTGTGTTGTGATTGGTCCACTCCGCTCTGATTGGTCAGATAACCCAGTCTGTTGTGATTGGTCCACTCCGCTCTGATTGGTCAGATGACCCAGTCAGTTGTGATTGGTTCTCGCAAGTCCTCATCCTTTTGAAAGTGCATTACAGTGGATTTGCTTCCAAAGCGCATAAAACAGCGTCTTCTCGACATGAACAACACGAGTCAAACTCTTCCAGTCTCAGCTACAACTACAGTGTTTGAGGCTCAAGCTATATGTTGTTCCTGGGCAGCCAATGAAGATCATAGACTGGCATTATGCAAATGTGTTACAAACCTACAAAGAAGTAAGACCGGAATTACTGACGACTCGTTTCAGTTTTTTCTTTTCATTTGGGAGTCAATAACTCCATTTATCTGTACTTAGATCTTGGCAGACCGTTTACATTCACAGCTATATTACACGCTACATGAAAGATAATATGTGAAAAGCATAATAGGGGCACTTTAATGCTCCAAGTGAACATAGTAATTGGCCAATGCTGAGAAACTCAAAACGGCTTTAGTCTATCACTAATGTAGAGTATAGATCACAAACAGTATAGTATATTTCCTTTCAAATCTGTTATAGAAACTGAATTTACAGTTTGAAATCAACAAATAAACTAATGCAAATAATCAAAATCCAGTAGTTAATAAAGAATAAAGCAGTATTGGTTGTTATGATTGTGGTCACTAGTATATTGTGCATCTCTATTTTTGATCTTCTCTTTTAGCCAGAAATCTTTTTGGTTACTAATGAAACATGTCTCCGAATCAAGTAGAAACTGATTCTATAATGCTGAGGATGCAGATCATGGTCAAAACAAGCAATCCCGAGCATCACACAGCATGACTGACACATGTCAATCAAAGGAGGAGGCTGCTGAGTGGCACTGCGTTTACACCCAGAGTTAGAGCGCAAGCCTCTGATCCCAGAGCTATTCAGATGTGTGTGTGTGTGTGCGTGAGACATCAGAAGTGTGTGAACCTTTTTGGAAATGATCTGACCGTATAGACGGTGGGCCGAGGGGGGATTTCGTGTTTTCAGACGATCTCTGGGGATGGATAACCCAGTTTTTTATATATAACCACTACACTTTTCAACAAAGCAAATAAAAATTGTTGCCACTCACATACTTTGCACATTACTATAATATCGGTAACTTTGTCCAGGTTATTTTCCCGGCGAATAGAGCAGGCGGCTACGTGTTGGGTCCGACATGCGTGACGTATTTGTTGCCTTCATCCAATAGCGTGCGTCGGAAAGTGTCGGTGTTGGTGACGCGTTTGTCAACACACGGGCGCGCTGATATGAAGTTGCTGTCTGACCTACAGTCTATGCTCTGTGCACATCTTTTCGAGAAGTGATTTTAGCCCAGGAAAGATTGAACTTGTTAACTAATTTTGCCCACTTATGCTACGTATTCAGTTTGACACAAAATGTGAATGTAGAGGTAACGTTATGCATTGTCACTGTTTTTATTTTATGTAACCATCTTTTGTCATACGATGTCCTGTCATTTCGTTGTAATCTTTAATAAATATACCGTTCTGATTTCACACATTTAATCCATGGTATTGCTTGGAAACACAACATCATGAAAACCATAGACATCTACAGCAGGATACAACGTTAAAATAGCCTAAATATAAAGTTATGAAACTTTACTTTGCCCTCAGCCAAAACGATTTGCCAAGGAACAAATTATAGATTAATGAGACCAAAGATTACCTGTTAGATATACACAAGTCGAATTATATATCATGTTTAACCACTAGACATCAGAGCCAGCGGCAAACGTCAGAAGCACTATAGCCGAGGTAAGGCTGTTCCAGGTGGGGTACATGAGCGCCCGGATCTCTCACTCCAAAAACGTCAGTTAAAATTTTTAAATAGGCTCTATCTTTACGAATAAACCATAGATTTGAGCTTTAGACAACTACATTGTCGACTGAAAAACTATTAAAACTACATTTCGTGACACAATAACAGTAGTATTTTGAAATTTCTAATTATATAATGGCCAAATACAACCAGAAACAAATTTTCAGTCTTGCTTGTGAAAAGTAATTGCTCGAGACCTGTTTTCAATTGTGTGGCGATTTGTACAGCCCCAAGCAGCACACAAAACACATTTTTCTCAATTCCCGGTATGAAATCTATGGGAAAGTTGCCCTCCGCAATATGGCCGCACCGTTGACGTACGCTCCAGCGGGCAATTGGGCGTCTATGTATTGATTATGTCTATGATAAAAACGCACATTTCTCTTTTTCCCGCACATTTTTACTATGGATGAAATCGCAAAAACATGAAGTGCTGCATGCATATATGTGAGGGAAATAGACCCACCATTCCCTTCACAGACATAAGTTGGGAGAAATTTATTAAATCTGTGTTTCTGTGGAAAGACCTTGAATGCAGAGAAAGTATTATAGCAGAAGAGGCAGTACAGGCATACAAATTACAAAGCCAGGAACCTACAAACCAGTTAGTCAAACCAGCTAACATTGGCTACCACAGGGAGTGCTACAGCCATTTCACAAATATCACGAAGATAGAACGAGCACAAAGGAGAAGAGAGAAGGCAGTATTAGTTGAAGAAACTGCAAATGAAGGTTGGTATTATATTGTACAGACAGGAGGTGCAGTAAAAGACATACAGTGCAGTATTATATTGTATAGACAGGTGGCGCAGTATATTACAGTGCAGTATTATATTGTATAGATAGGTGGCGCAGTATAAGACATTCGGTACAGTAGTATACATTTAAGAAAGTAGTATGT